GCAGGCCGTTGGCCATCTCCGTCGTTGCCTTTGTACGAGCCTACTGACCGACTAATCCGTGCCCAAAAGATCTTCCGACGGCTATCATTCCTCACTACTATTAACTATTTGGGTCCATCGTATTATACCGTATTCACTGCAATGTTCACCTCTAATTTACCGTGAATTCACTTATACTTTCCTTTCAAAATTCATTAGAAACGGTACACCGACGGATTGCAACTACAGTTCAAGTTCAAAAGTTTCCTATGATTTTTCCTCCGTCTAGAAATTACGTCACGAATGGAAGAAAACAGAACTCATCTTGAGCAGATGGACTGAAAATAGGAGCAAGGTTTTTTTTTTAGCGCGGAACTGGCACGTTGTCTGGTGGGAATGGGCAGATTTATATGTTAGTTCAAACCTTTGAGCTCTTTGACCACAATGCTGTCAGAATAAAAATCCAATGTAGATTAACTACAATCAATATGTAAGCTGATATGAAAGAGTAACTGACGTCTTAAAGTGAAATAGGAAAAGAGAACAGCTCTGCATCAAGAGTACAGTCTGCACATTAGTGAATAAGAATAAGGAGTCTGAAATAGTCTGCTGATGTGATAAGGTCTTACCAGTGCGGTGTTGCGTTGTCAGTAAGACTTGGCCAAACCGATCACATTACCACTCCGCTTCGTCAGTACCTGTTTTATTCGTAATTACTTAGGGATACATGGAACTTCACTTAATCCCGCTTGATTGAATCAATCGACGTAATTGTGTCGACATTGTCTAACATTTCAAGAAGGGGCTTTCTTTGTGATCCTGGCTGAAAAAGCATAGCAGCTTTTTGAGCAAGTCAAGCTGACAAGTGTTTTTCAAAATTATTATAATGATTTTCTTTCCAATACAAATCGTTCCACCTCTGCAAAGAAGGTGGAGAAAGCTCTGCACAGCGTCACGAAATTCTGAGTGGAGTCTTTTTCTTGAACAAAATTATTTTACAGCTGCGTTAAATTATCAAATTAGAAGGGAAAAGGACCAAGAGTGACTTGGACAATAATTCACTGCCGTCTTAAAGAGCGAGCACGGCGTCCTTACTGCACTATTTATTCGTAACAGTTAATGTTTCCGCTGTACTTGAAGGGACACTCTTGAAGCATTCCGGGAAAATTCCAAAAATCCAAAACTGAACCGCAAGGAGGGATGCCTTGTGATCACTCATGACCTGGCGCCATACCTTCAGCTGATTTATCACCTGAACCAGGCACATTCCTTCGCCGTCCATGAGGTTGGTCTCCACCAAGTAGCTGGAAAACATAAGGCTTGATGGTTGAAACGGTGATTGTTTAAAAGAAGCTGATTATTTTGCGAATGAAAATTTCTGTGTTAAATTCTGCCTGCTAAGGTTATGAAATTGTATGATTGAGTAGATTGCCTGTCGAATTGTCCTCTGCAAGCCCTGAAAAAGGCGAAACCGTTGAAGCGTCAGCTATTTCAAGTGAGCACTACAACCTTGTGTCTACCTATCATGGGAAGGATTATTGAACACAGTAAAGGTTGATAGCAAATCGATCCTGGAAAATGAACTAGACGGTCCAATTAAAGTTTCAGAGTAACTTTTGATTAAGACCAATGTCATTCCTTAATCTTTTCTTTTTGGCCAATCTCTGAAGCCATTTCGCCATCTTCCCACAAATATTCAGCACTTGATGGCGATGAGGAATGTCTAACAACGGTGTTAATACCGTTAGCTACGTGAAATTCGATAGCTACGGTCGGCCTGACTTTGTTGTCGAGGTCAATCCTTAACCTCTCGTTTACAACCCCGGATAGAGAGATCAGTGCAATGGAATGAACGCTCTCGCCCAATAGCACTTGAAGCGCTGGTGACGGCCGAGAGCAGGTAGTCACCAGAGTCACACGGGTCAGATGGCCTCTTCAGCGAGCAGACTCCATGAGCTAGTGTCGCTACGTAACCCTATTGATGACTGCCTAAATGGTCCGTGATTCAAAATACCCATAGAGAACATTATCCACTCTACAGGATGAATAGATCCTCAGATGAAGTTGGAGATATTGACGACTATCAAAAGTTATCACTATGACTGTCAATGTGAAATTTCTATACAACTATTCCTATACTAAAAGCTAATATAACCCTAAGTATAAAATAATGCTAAAGTTGGAAATGGCAGTCGTCATTCCATTCTCTCAGAAAAAAGTCTGATGAAGAGTGTCTAACACTGGTACGACAATAAACAAATTCATAGAGGAATCTCCAACGGACCATCGTTTCCTTGGTGAAAACTTCTAAGCAATCCCTTATACCCTTTGTAGGAGAATCGCAGAGTCAGCTGGATTCTCTGCAGTTTTTTACTGGGTAGTAATTGGAACGTGATTATATCTCAAATATCATTTTCAATCGTGGACGGGAAATCTGCCGTTGTTGGACCGAGGCTTCGCTTAAATCGACGTCATCACTGCCCACTAATTTATGGTGTCGAGACATTGTTGTGGCGAATACGAATTAGCCGTTTGTTAACGTTTGTGCACACTGACACCTTCGAAAGGATAGTGGGTACAATTAACGTCCGTGCGAGACAACAGACACAGGAATCTGCACGGTCTCCCAAACCCTCTCCACCCCTACATCACTTTGTAGTAGACCTGTAAAAATCCATTTCACCTTGAGACAGTTAAGAAATCGCCTGAGTCTACTTCCATCTACAACGAAAGCAAAGAAAATCTGAGCTCTTCTTGTTCGCTGAGTTTCACTACGACACTAAGACCGGAATTTTGTGTTTACATGAAAACTCTGTGCCCTGTGGGCACTTTCCGTAAGCGCTTTGTAGGCGTTGATGAGACTGTAAGCTACTAAAAAAGCCTTATTTCACTAGTGTGCTTATTCCATCAATGTTTGTTCTCGAGAATATTTCGTGTCCACTTATTCTGACGTCTGTCAACTGGCATTGCATCATCTGTTATCTGTGTAAACTTACTGCATATGTCTTCTCTTTGTAGACCCTGTATACTTAGTCAAGACTATGTCTTTAAAATTTGAAATTTAACAACTTAAGCGATGACCGTTCTACAACGATAGAAACCTAACTACGAAGTGAGGAAGTTAGGAATGCTACACTTCCACTGTTTTGTCAGACATTTCTCAATAAAATTTCTCAGAACAAATTCCTTCATAGACTTCATACTCACCATTAGTGAACCGATCTCGGGCCATGATTAAGTCAGAAATTTGGAAAATATATCCGTGATACACAATATGCGTATTTCCCCATGGGTTTGTTATGGACTCTACAATGGCGTCTTTTGGATGAAAATGAGCCCGTAAATTTGTGAACTGTCCGAGAAACAAAGAAAATGAGCACTAAACCTTCGACGAACCACAAAATTCTTGTTCTTTCGTGGGCACCAAAGCTTCGGACCATTCATTGCAAATCCTGGCTGGTTCAAGAGTAGTTCTTCATTTGTTTACAAATTTTAGAAGGAAGTGATAAGCATCTCTCATTTGAGGACGAGTCCTGGTTGGTAGCACTTTTTTTCTTCGAAATTTCCGTCTCTATTAACGTGTAGAAAATCACGAAACAGTTTTAAGCGTAGACACCCTACAGGGTGATGCTGTGTTATCGTAGTCCTCTAGAAGGGTGTCCTCACCGGTTACAGTACCCTTTCAAGGAGCCGCCTGTACAAATAGATGATGCAATGAGATTTTCACGAAGTGGAGTTGAATGAAACAACAAACGCTGGCCGTAATGAGGTTGTCTATTTGTACAGCGCTCATCTAGCCGTTTTCTTGGCCGAAGATGGTTATCGCTCGCTTATGAATCGAAAAGGTGAGCGATCGCTTTGAATCTGTCGGAGATGACTTTAACAAGGTCGATGCAGTTTCAAATTTTTTACTCTGATTAGAAGTGACCGAAATTTGCTAGCTCGCATATTCCCTTAAAGACCAGCAAGTGAAGAAGTTCAAAATGTGCATTCTTTGCGTCCGGTGTTCTTTGCAGCGCGGTTAAGATTTCTATTAAGCAAGTACCCAGCCAGTGGCAAAATAAAATTTTATTCGATTTTGTTGCTGCTCTCAAACGTCACAGCTAATTTAATGGAACTGAGATAGTTCGGTGCAGGATAGCACAGTGGTAATGATAGTGATGCTGATCACAAGGTGCACGGTCTTGGTTCGACGCCTTCCCTCTCACCCTTGTAGAATCACCAAGCCTCTCAGCCTCCTCCAGTGAAAGGGAATTCGTACCGAACTTGTCTGAGAAAAGTCCACTCTCCGCAATTCAGTTCGGAACGCTCTACCCAGGCTATCTCAGGACTTGAGAGGGCCGACCAGCAATCAACGAAAACTCAATGGTATTCATGAAGGAAGGAAAATTCTCAAGCAGCAGCAGAATTCACACGCAAAAAGATGTCAGACCTTCGTGGATAATGGATTCAAGGTAACGAATCGAAGTGCAAGAAGTGCTGGAATCTGTGCAGAAAATATGAAAGATAGCACATGCAAAATGAATAATACATAGTTGTACGTATTTCTAAGAAGACACCTTTTCTCTGTTTGGCCTTCTAGACTTCATTTATCTACTCGATAATTTCTAATATTTCTATAACCTAAAAATATTTGGAAAAGGTTTACGGAAATTGCAATCTTAAGGATGCCCGATACAGCTTCTTTAAATCAGTGCAATTTCTGTCAAATCACAAACTTAAAGCAGAAGACGAGATGTATTAACGAAAAAAGACGAGACAAATGCACCACCATGAAATTTCGCTTTTCTTCATTGCTCGTTAAGCAGAAGGTTCGTGGAGAGGAGAGAAAAGTGTAATCTTGCACTTTGCATCCCAATAATGAGCACTACTGTTCAGTTCAGATTTGTCCGACATCTGGTACCGCTCCACTTCCTTCTGATGCCGCTTCTGACGCCGCGACCCTGTGGGCGGAGCCAGTGGGGCGGGACATTCGTGGCTGTCCCGCCATTCGAACAGTACGGGACTGCTGGCTAGAAGCGATGTCCTGTCTCGCTATCACTTTCAGCGGTCCAAAGACCAGAAATGGTCGACGCCTTTTCGAGAACTTCGTGCAAGCCAACAAGTACAGCTTTTGGAATCGGTAATCGTTTATCGTTCACATGCCTGCACAGTGCTTTTGTTGCTTTTGAATAACTCGTGTTTTCCAGAGAGCTCGTACTAGCTGTCGAATCACTCATCTTTATGGGATTCATGCGACCGTGTACAATATTCATTTCGGGATCAGTTACACACCTTCAATCACTACGAACAGCGTGGGCTCGTCGCGTGCTAAAGCCAGCCGAAGGCTATTTAATCAGCTCACTAGGTGAGTCTCGCTTTCTATTCTTACAGTTTTCACTCTTAGAAAGCACGAAATTTGTCACTAGTGCTGAATGGAAATCGCGGAACTCAATCTAGGCATCATAGGAGAAATAGGCTAATCTGTCTTCAACATTTAATATTCAGCGTCTAGGGTACTCATCAAACACTAGCATGTCTTTCAACTTCTGCTTAATCTCATGACAATGCCTGATCTCTATCTTGTCTCGTTCCGAAACTTCACCGTAATCTTTATCCTTGCTAAAAGCGATTTCGGCCCAGATCGCGGCTCGTCTTTGATGTTGTCATTTGGCAACGCCATGTTGTGTTAATTGTACACTATGACCACCACCGTCACACCTTGAGGTCGCCAGATTTATGGTATAATTGGTCTAATTGTTCAGGATCTTCTTACTAAGCGATTTTCGAAGAGAAAACAAAGGAAAGCCTGCTCTGTTTTTGGAACAATGTTGAATCCTAATTTCAGACAATAGGCATTTATGGAAGAAAAACAACTAGAAGTATACGTGCCTTAGTGATTGAGACACTTTTCCACTATACTAGTTTGCAATCTGGTTCTCAAGGACGCGAAAGTTCTGCGTATAAACTGTAAGCTTTGAACGATTATTAACCACTAACCAACCCCACAACAATGTCTCCGGTTACGGTAGTTCTCCCAACTGCGGAGGCGACGATTAGTGTTCATGGGATGCCGTAAGACTGATTCTGGTCTGAAACCCACGCGAATCCGGTACGTATGCTCGATCATGTATATCTGGGGTTGCGTCAGAGTCCTAATTGCTTCTCTTTCGGAGTACGTGAAGACGATGTCTACGGCGCAGCACCTGTTGCTGACCGTGCAATGCGATACGCTTGTACAGGTGCGGAACAGATGTGTGTTGATATTATGGACAGGTCTCGAAAGAGATAAGCGTCCAACAACGTTTCGACGTACAACCACACGCCTCAAGTTCACTTCTCCTGAAATCCAACCCACGTCCTAAAACTTTCCTCGTATTCTGAAGCAGGTGTTTGGGCGTCACTTGTTCAGAATGTTACGCGGATCTTTCCTATCTCTAAGGCTTAGTAGTGCTATTCATGAAATTTCTCAACCAGTTTGCTCTACACTCCACCTATTGCGCAATAGATGTTTCGGACAAAATAGATCTACCGAAAGTAGTTAAACCAGCAACGTGTTATTTCTCACCATATCTGTGGGCAGTATTGGAGATGTTTCGGTAAACAGCCGTTTTTGTGTGGAAAATGTTTGCGACATTAGCCGGTGGATCTCTGCTCACGATAGATTTCACAGGAGAACAAAATGGATGTATTCATTGCGATTAGATATGTGGGTAAGTAACGAAAATACTTTACTGGACGGAAAATATGTTGAGATCAATCCCTTAAAGAAGCATTTGAACAATTACAAGTACATCACGAAGACAAAGCGTGCGTCGTTTCAGGTGAGATGGGAGCAATCCAGACGGTCGAGCAGATGCACTTCGTGCCGCTGGCGGACGTGCTCTGCGACGCCATCGTGAGTCTGACGCGGCTCGGACGTGGAACGACGCTTTCCGCTGTCCGCCAGTACGTCATCCGCAACTGCCCGTACGTCGCGCCGCCATCTCTGGAGATGCTCAAGCAAACCGTCGCCAATCTTACCGCCACCGGAATCGTTTATAAGATGGGTGACCACCTATTTGTCTCCGTGCCGGCACAAATCACGGAAAATACCAAAGTAAGTCCCAGGAGATGTTGTTTTCCTGAGCATAATGTGCTATGCTGAAGTGGACTAAGTCAGTAGCTCTGCAAAAGCGGAATAGGTTTCTTAATGGGTTATTATATTGACATTCACAGAAGCAAGATAATCAATCCGTTATTCGAATATTTTTGCACCATCAAAACGAAACCGTTCATTGAAAAACAAGTCACTTCATACTTAGACATTCTGCCTGGTTTTACCCTAATGCTTGTCATGACGTCGTCGATGTGAAACGATTTCCAACAGAAGAACTGAACTTACATAACATAAGACACGTGCTCCTCAGATGATTCTCGTTGACTACGGGTGATTGCTGGTGGTACCGTTAGGGTAAAATAACTGGCTGAGAGAAAGCCAAAACGAGGGTCTGAGTAGTGCCGTGCGTAAGACTTGAGACCCTGGAAAGGGTAGTCGCGCGTTCGAATCTGACCTCTGGTCCAGATTTTACAAACATCTTAGCGTCATTGCGGTTGTATTTCACATCATACCCTCCCATGAAAAAGACAAGACACATGGTTGTTATGGATTTATCCTTTTCACGTTAAATGGTATGTTTGATGGCCGGTTCCTCAGAGCCTCTGTCCCACTCTTCCAAGATTTAATCGCAGCCATCCAGACTTAAGACAGTAATGTAGTCCAAGTCGAAAGTTGGAGCAGATAAGGATGGCGGTAATCTGACTAATTTTGCTAGTCCGGGAATTCCTCACTAGTGTTTATCTCTCTCAACGTAGCTGTGCGACATTTAAGCTGTGAGTATAAATGAGTGCAAACTTTTTTTGCCAACTGAAGAAGAATGACCATTCTGGGTCATTCTAGGTCATTAAGCCAAGATTGAACCTTTACCAACTTTTTTCAACCAAGGTTGAACCTTTTCGGATTTACCGCATTTCCAGGTGGCAGTGGAGTGCCAAACAGGCGAATCGATCATAGCGCCACCGGAGCCGGCGAAGAAGGACCGACTGGGCTTCCTCGCACGAATTTTCACCAAGAAACAACAATCAGCACCTGTTGACCAGCCACCCGCGTTCTTCACGAAAGCCGCCCCCGACTGGGGCAGAAAGCCGTGGACGCCAATGACGTGCAGGTGCGTACTATGCGCCAACTCGACGAAGCTGGCGTGAACCTCGTAGCTGCCAATTATTTTGGCGTACCTCATTCATCTGTTGTCGCCTGTGTGCTCATTTTTTCTTGCTTATTTGTTTCATATAAGCGAAAGTTGGTTGTGAAATTCTCCTATGCTAGCTCCTCCTAACGGTTTACTACCTCATTGTGCCTGGGAAGTGTGCCTGGGTGTCGTGCTGTTATGTACAGTAGGGGATTCATTCCTGAGCAGCGCCTCCCAAACTGAGGGGTCCGGCGTTTCCACCAGAAAGCCCAGCTAAGAATAAACCAATGCCAGTATCCACTACCGACTAGGTATAAAATTAGTCGCATGGTGGCAAATCTTCCCCTAGTCCACAAGGGCGGCGATTGCCTGTGGTGGTGACGACCCGGGACAGACTTTGGTCAGGATGACCTCGGAAGTCCAGGGGACCACTGTGGATAAACCGGCAGAATTCTGAAAAGATGGAGGTAATGCTGGGGCTCTCACAGTGAGTGGGGAAGGGTCATCCAAGTATCCAAGTAGGTAAGTATCCTATGCTAGCTAGTGCGAAATGTAAGTCAGTAGTTGTGTTGATTGAAATCACCAGGGGGCTTGACGGGTATTGATGCTCTATTGTTGTGAGTTGTCCTCGTTTACCCTCGATGAATAGCATGGATCTCTCTTAATTAGGTCGTGCTAAGTGTCACAACATGTCACCGAGTTACCTCTGTAAGTTGCTGATGGATAGATTTTGATAGATATTGTGGAACTTGACCACATTCACTGTCGTATTCTGTCATTCGTGTTCTCATCCTATTGAGGTCTGAGGGGAACTATCCATGGCCCACTGCAACCTGACCCTAAGTGTATCCGTATTGAGTGTGCCGTTAGAACTATTATACAATTGTTGCGTAACTGAGCGAAACATCGTGCATCGTTCTACTTAATTACAGTGCTTATAGTCCTTGCCCAATTCCCTTCATTTGTCCAGGCATTCGAATCAGAGAGTTCGACGAGTAACCGAGCACGAATCGTGCCGCCATCCGAAGTACGAAAGAGTTCAAATCAGTTCGTCATCGGAGTGTCTCAACTACGGTCCCATCGATCCACCAGAATGTCTACCAGGGAAAGTCGAAGGCTAGTAAATGCTGTGAAAATCGAGTGTCATTATGTAATGTAACTTGTTTTCAGTAATCGAAGATTTTCAAAATCGTCGAGTACTCCGCATAAAGTGTAAGGAAATCCGGACATCTACACCAGTTGATGAGTCGGATTCTGCGTATTCCCCATCTCCTGTCACTGACTCGAATGAAGAACCGGGAAGTTGGAGTGAACCCGAAGGCACCAAGGTGATTTGAATTTTCTCATATATCAATCTTGTTCAGAACTGCGTATGGATGCTGGAGAATATCAGCTCAGTAAGTACAGGTATAGAGATGTCGGTGATCCCTAGTCGAAAGCCTTTCTTCTACTGGCTAAGAGTTTAGTAATACTAGTCTTTTTCAGACTAACCACACCTACATGAATCTTGTGGAAGGCGATTCGACTCAGTTCGAAGAGATGCCCACGGTGATTTGCCCAACAAGACATGCTCATATTGCAAACCTCTGATTGTTCTTTCATGTTCGTGTGAGTAGTCTCCTAGTCGGTACTCGAACCCCATCTACATCTTCAGACGATGAATGAAGGATGGCTCGTACCTTGATGTGATCCATTCTATCTCATCATTTTTTCAGTTTAGCCATCGTTAATTGCTTTGCATGGTTTTTGTCACTTGTTGCTAAAATTCTCGATTATGTACAAAGTTGTTATCATATTTATTAAATACAGATTTGTTCCAATATGGCTTTCATCGTTTGCCACATAAACCAGGTATGATTCCAGTACCAGAAGATTACGGTAGTTTTTCGAATTGGTGCAAACAATCGTGCGTGTCAAAGGCAGGGTGTTTATGCACATCCGGCAGGTGCTTGTGTAATCTGTGGATTTAGAACAAATAGATTGTCGTTGTTGGCCTGTTCTGCTGTTCAGGCTAGATATGGATTGCCACGAGTCACGATGGGTAGTAGAGCGCACTCACATTTATATAAGTGAAAAAAGTTCGAACCTTATCTAAAGTGTCATCTGACTCACCTTGAGATGACAGTCATCAACGTCGTTCGAAACATCAATCATGTCTCAGTTACTGGCTCAAAGAGTTCATCTATTTGTAAGTTTTGTAATCATGAGGTGATGCTTTCAATTAGTTATTGGAAGTATGGTTGCGGTGGTCCTGGTCCTTCAGTATCTTCGGTTTTTTTTCAATTCAGCAATGTTTGTGGCTAAGGAAGGGAACAAGTGACCTAGGGTTATTTTTTAAACCCGGTCAGGTATACATGTCATTATGTCCCACTTCCGTGCCTTCAGAAATGGTATTCCTGAGTAATTTCATCCATCGTTTATCTATTCTAGTATTCCAAACAATTGGTATTTGGCATCCATAATCCCATTCGCTTTCCTAGCACTCGTCGTCTACAATGGTCTTCGAATATTTAGCGTGTTGTTCAGCTGCTCGTAGAGTAATATCCTTTTCTTTGTGAAAGTCACTGAATGCTGGTTGAATGGTTTGCTCTGGAGTTCTGAGATAACCGGACTAGAGCGTTCCCATTTGGATTGGAGAGAGTGGTTTTTTCCTAGATAAGTCTGGCACGAATTTGCCCACGCCGGAAGGATGACGGGCTTGATAAGCTCAAAAGAGGGTAGGCCACAATGGTCTTCCAATATTTCTTATGTTGGTCGGCTGCTGCCTGAAGAGTTCGTTTTCTTGATGAATGTCGTAGAATGCTGGTCAGGTTGATCGTCCTTGCAATCTTGGAGATACCAGGGCCAGAGCGTTCCCAATAGGATTGGGGCAGAGCATTGAGAGAGGGGTCAAACCAGTACCTTGCTTCCTGATGGAGTACATAACTACCCACTTCATAACATTTCTTCAGAACTAAAAAAAACTATTCCTGGTGTACAAACGAATATCTTTCCATTTCAACGCGTTTTTAATCCCTACATACATATATATACATATATTCATTTATCTACCTTTTTATTTATACTTGTATATGTGTATTTACATTTACCCATATTTATATCTGTATTTGTATACTTGTGTAGATACTTATATATCTTAAAGATCGACTTTCATTAGATCTTGTAAACAATGTTTAGTGATTTTCTACGTGATTGAGCTGACTGAGTTGACACGAGGTTAGGATAAAAACTTTTATTCTTTTGGCTAACGTTTTGGCGCCTTCGTCTTCCCCAGAGCCCAGTAGATCCGAGTCGATGGTCCACAGCTGCTCGTTGTCGCATCGACGCGAATCCAGTGCGTGGAGTACCGTTCGAATGGGATCTTTTTATATTTATGTATATTTACATATTAGTTATATGTATATATCCACATGGATGTGCGGAATTTTTACCCACTTCTTATTATACCACTGTGAGATGGATGCTAAACTGTTTGCGTCGTTTTCTTGTACAGCAACCGCGAGGTTTTTGAACATCATACATTTACTTCCATAGAGAAACAATACAATATAGCACTAACTGACGTTTCAGCAGTATCGCCTTTTTCAGAGCCTGGAAGGGTATACTGATATGCAATCTACTAGGCCAAGCGCTTCAATAACACTTACAAAAAGACGAAAAACTATGGCAATCACATAATCAACAGCTTCTCGAAAAACTCACTGCTTTTTACGTGACTTCCAATGAGGAAGTATAGAAGGGCTGATTATAGTCGCATATATGCGGAAGATATGCGACTATAATCAGCTGTTCTAAACTTCCTCAATGGAAGTCACGAAAAAGCGGCTCTGAAGAAGGCGATACTGCCGAAACGTCAGCTAGTGTTGCATTGTATTGTGTTTTTCTATGGAAGTAAATGTATGCTGTTTAAAAACCTCGCGATTGCTGAACAAGAAAACGACGCATTCATATTCCAATGCCGAGGTTAGTAGAAAGTCGATCCTGTGAACTGTTAAACTGTTTGTTACATTAACTTATTGGCGAGGAGAGGACAGTAGCGTAGTGGTTAGTCAGGCAGTCCATCGGAATGCAAGGTGCTGGTTTGACCTTCTCTCCAACGCTCTCTTCCAGTCCACGTGGGAACGCCTCAGCTTGGTTATCTGCAAAATTGAAGAATAATCAATTCTACTAGCTTCTGACATTCATAAAAAGAAGAGGGCATCCACAAGCACCAGCCGAGACAACGGGCAAAGTCTTCGAAGACCTTTGTGGACGATGAAGGCGAGAGAAACGAATCTAGTGCAAAAAGTGCTGCGATCCGCACAATAATTGTGATGGCGAGTCATGTAACTTTTGAAAAACGACGAGCTGCATTGAAATCAATGCTCATCATTCCTTGTGCCCACGCTCCTCTCCGCTTCCCTCGCTCTTGTCCCCTCCAAAGAAAGACGTTAGATACTCTCATCGGTAACAGTCTCTGTGCTACTGCACCGCTCCATAAGGTAGAGCAAGAAATTGTCGCATAACTCGAGTATTTCTTTACGAAGCAAAAACACTGCGACGACGTCGCCGGCGACATTCCGTCTTGTGACGGACAAATTCGTACGGAGAACCGTTTTTATTAGTTAATGGCTTTCGAACATAGCTTCCATTGGATCATGCTCGTTATATCTTTGGTTGGGGAACTATCGACTGAACCCAAAAGGCAAGTGAAAACCTGTGCGGCAAAACAAATCTGCGAAGAGAAAATGCATCGAGGTCAAAGCATATTGTCCATTGTGGTTCCATGCGTGTATTTGAATAGATCCACACTTTTGCGAATGAGTTATTAATCTAGAAGTTGTTTTCAAGAATTGGTATCGTGTGGTATTTGTTTCATCTGAATTAGAAACGTGTGGCTAACACCATCAATACGATTTCAGGAGCGGCATTCAGGCAAAATCATAAATTATATGGAGGTGCCGCAGCAAGAGCTGCCAGACCCATACGAGTGGTTTGCGGAACAAGTGGCTGGTCATCATCCATCAGTAATTAAGAACGGTAAAAGGGAGATTGGTAAGCTCTTCTATCTTTCACATGGTGAGCTATTCTATTTACCATGTTTTCATCATTTCCCAACTTGATTTGTTTCATAAATTCTGATGGAGACTATCAGTTAGTTGGTGCAAAATATTAGTAGAAGTGCCGGTTGACTCAAACACTTCAGGTGTGTTGAAGAAATCTGGCAGTGACAAGATCTTAAAACCGAAGTTGGAAGGACTTCGTGGAGAGTGTGAGGTACGTGGGCAGACTGTTGTTTCTTATAGGTACATTAATATGTCTATGTAGTAATGCGATGTTCCTCCTAACGGTTTCCTGCCTCATCGTGGCTGGGAGGTGTTCCTGGGTGTCGCACTGCGATCCGGCTTCTCCATCGTGAAGCCCAGCTAAGAGTAAAGCAATGCCAGGATCCACCACCGTCCTGGTACCAAAATAGTTGCATGGTGCAAATTTCCCTCTGATCCACATCCAAGGCTGCCACTGCCTGTGGTGGTGACGACGTGCTGCAAACTTTGGCCAGGCTGTCCTCGGGACTCCAGTGAGCCACAATGGCTAAACCAGCAAAAAAAATGAAAAAAATGGATCCGAAAAAATGGATATTATGCTGGGTCCACCCCAACCAGTGAGGATGGGCTATCCAAGTATCTAAGTAAGTAATGCGATGTTAGACTACAGCTGTTGTCGTACTAAAGTTGTTATTGATTTTGGCTCTTTTTCTTATCTCATCACTTAATTCCGTACTGATGTTCTTATTGACAAGCCAAACTATGCAGTTCGAGATCGAAAATTTGCCAATCAGTGCTGTCTGCTGTACTACTTGCCAAAACCTATCTGCAGTCTTAAATTCACAACTTAGTGAAAACGTCACATAGAGTTCATTTACATCTTTTTAAAGACTTTTATCCTTTTTATGTCCTATGCTGGTAGAACATTAATGTGCATGAGTGCATCGTGAAGAAGACGTCGTGATGTACAGGTGCGTTGCGCAACTAAATGAGTGTGGTTCGTTTAGGTCAATGTCTACAAGATGTTGACAAGGACGTTGCGTCACAGAACTTCCGTAGAACTCAACGACGACCGTGGAGACGACATGAAGTCAGCCTGACAGCAATTACGAATTCTGTTGGTGATCTTTACCTGAGCCACCTCTTTAGATCATACGGGTGGCCAGACATTCAAATCGAAGATGTTGAAGGTCTTGCCGTATTGACACCACGTTTTTATGGTATTACTTCTCTTGCAATTGACAGAGAAGGTGATTTTGTTAGCATTCATAGAACCTGTTTCAATGTAGTCATGTAGTCTTTTCTTAACAAAGAAAAAAAAGGAATTTTGCAAGTGCTCTGGACCCCAGGTTGGATCTGCCGTATGAAATTGCCGAAAGTGTACTGCAAAGAGTGGCAGCTTTTACGTTAATTTTGGTACACATGGAGTCTGTATATAGACCCAACCTCTTTCATAACGGAGTTCTGGCATATTGGCAAGGTGGACTAGTTTCAGATCACGACTTTTTGATTTTGGAGGATGTGACAGCTGTTTATAGACTGCCTGCAATATTGGATGTGAAAATGGGAAGAGTAACATTCGATCCTCTGGCGAATGCATTAAAACAAGAAAGGGAAACAACGAAATACCCCCCACAACGTATTTTAGGTTTCAGGCTTCTTGGATATCGGGTAGGTCACAATATTTCTTCACACAACTACATGTTTCCATTTTGATCAATGTTTTTAAGTACATAGCAAAATTTAGTGTGCTCTTAAAAGCTAAATCCATCAAGGGATTCCTCGATGTGGCTTTTTTGAATTCGTAATGCGTTGCTTCGATACTCATGACAGATGTCACATCCGCCTTTAGAGAAACGAGTTCGGACAGGCGTATGGTGTCATTCCGCAGCAGCTGTGCAATGTTTCCTCATCCGTTCGAAGCCGACTGAGAACTCACACATGGCAACAGTCGTATCGGTGTGTGATCCCGACCCTGTACGGGTAATTACTGGTTAGGCAACCTCTGTGGAAGCAATTCAAGAAATGAAGGCCGCATTGTTTATGGCATTGAGCGTCAAGATGCCGCGAAACAGATAATAATGCCCTTTCCGGATACTGATATGCAAAAGGATGCTTATTACCTTGTCAGTGTATTTCTATGAGAAGCGATTTGAAGACGGCATTATCAGTGAGTCTATCTCGCAGGGTACGAGCCGCCTTCCGCTAGACTTAAGATGGTGGAAAAGGAGGATCACGTTGGATCTTATCTTTTATTTCTTTATAAGCGCGAAATGTTAAGAATGTTTAGGAAGTTCTCAAATTCCATTTGGAAAGAAGAATGTACTTATGCTTCATTTCAGATGCACTGCCACGATGGTACAGTGATTGTGAAGGATAAAGAATGGGGTAAAACCCATACCGAGAATACTATACTCAATGGTAGAATGTACGAACATTAATGAAGAACTATTGAGTTTGTTACATTTGCTGTTAAGGCCTTCGTGAATTTTTCTCGGGTCGTGGAGCTGATTCGTATTTATTATCGGAAGTGTTGTCGAAGTTAGACCGGGTGCGACAGTGGTTCTCTACTCAGAGATCGTTCCACTTCTACTCATCATCCCTTCTATTTGTTTACGAAAATGATCTTTCTCGACCATCAAACCTTCAGTTAGTAATGATTGGTATGTCTTCCCAAAAAAAACTTTCTTGAGATGAATGGACCTTTTTTACTCAGTGAAAGATCTCCTATTTAGATTTCTCTCACGTATTTCCTGCAAATGATGAGCTCGACACTAATTATATTCATGGTCTCGACGTATTTTACTCTAAGATGCAGGCTATCCATAATGAATTCGCTTCAAAACAGGAACCTCAGTACTCATAAGTTCTATGTTACATAGTGGTTAAGTATTTAATTTGTCACAATAATGAATAGATTTGATCTCAGATAGGTTTTTCATACGCTCAGTACGAGCTACGTGGTACTACTCAAACTGAGATCAGGAAAGTGAGAAGAGATTAACACGCGATGTCAAACAAGTGAGAAGATGAGAGCCGTACAGAAAACATGAGCCATTGTACACATTGCACAAGATCTCCTGTTGACCCACTGACTACAGCAATGTGAGTAACGTGTCAAAAAGATGCATAGATGAAAAAGGTTTAGAAGAGAAGCATCATGTTTGAAATAAATATCACTAAATTATGGATGTTAATGATAGGAGTTTACTCCAGAAAGTACTTTCTACCAAATAAGAAAACAGCAGAATTTTCGATCTTAACAAGACTTCCAGTTCAAATTCTCTAGGAATCAAGCCACCGAAAAGTGTTCGTAGTACACATCCATAGTGTCAAGGTCTAGCATAACAAGTAGCTGAGTTTGAGAGAAACGAGGGACGGAGATCATTAGACACCGTTCCCCACAGGTGTTTTCGAACCATCTGAATTCTGGATGTGGTTGATTTCCAACTACCATTACATGAGGGAAAGTTCCATCCATTATGAATGGATCACTGAAATATACACAAGTACAATCTATTCCATGCATTTACAGCTGACAATGAATAGAACGATGAGTGAAGATAGATAGTCTTACCGGTTTTCGAAAGGAAATCCATCAACCGTATCAGGGCAGGTGGGAGCGATATGTTGCCAACGAAGCATAAGCTCGATAAGGTCACAACTAGAGTTCACACCACTCAGGCGTCGAAGATCAGAAACAGCTCGGCCTGTAGAAGCATGTCATTTCAGGAGAAATTGTGGCGATGACGATACTGGCACTTTGTGCTTTTTCCGGTCATTCAAATACTGTAGTGAGTTTGTACGAAAATCATTTTCAGTGAGGAATTTTAAACTGTTCCTCTCCAAAATTCACCTCTGTGTAGTGGTAAATACAATACATAAAAGCAAGACTGAAGGACGTGCACAAGGTCACACGGATGATGGGCCTACTACGCAATCTTAATTACCAATATGCTTAGACGCTCCAATCAGAGTCCAGTCAGATCTGTAATTTTATGAGACGATTCCTCTCGTTTATTGGAGTAGCGTTTGATTTGCTTTTATTGAAAGTGATATTCACAGACTGACATAGTCAGTCTATTACATACCTTTTGGTTAAAGACCATCGACAATCTTGTAAGAGTAAAACAAAGATAGAGGGTGACTACGACGCGTACACCTTCCAAAAATTAAGCTAAGTTCACTGATTGGTTACTAATAGCGAGTATCAAATTGTGATATACAACTTGTTCGTCTCCCAACAACTACAACTTGGGCTCAGAACAGGTGCAGTCATCATTCCTATCCAGAATCCTACTTAGGAGCAAACCTATGCCAGAAATCTCAACCGTTTTGCGAAAGCTCAATCATAAGGCGGCAAACGTCATTCCAATTATCATGGGTTACCGGTGATCTTTCAATGAAATAGCACAGGAAAAGAACACTTTCAGAACTAGTAAGCTCTGAGCTAAAAAGAAAATTGTGCTTGGCAACGTGCTGTGAATATTGGTCATCCAGATATCCAATGAAGTAAATATCTAATCAAGCACTTTGTTAAAACTTCGTACCAGATGTGGCTAAGATATCAATTCCAGCGAGACTGAACTCGTACGGATTAGTGGCAAGCGTTAAAGCAGCTCCACTGGCAGAAGATCGTGGCAGACATGCACGATGTATCGGCTGCTGAGGCATCTGTTGAGGACACGGATCACCCACTCCCGGAACAAGGTCGAGCTTCACTCTGTTCTGAACAAAGCGTGATCTCATGAATTTGCATCTGGTTTTCTTACCATTACTCAAGATAAAAATTAAAGGATAAGAATGTGCCAAGAATAAAATTCGAAATATGGAACTGTTAAACATAAGTAGAAATTTACTAGATTCGTTAATAATTGTTACTTCTTCAACATTTGTTAAAATTTATAACGTTCACCTCAATATTAATAAAAGATAAAGCTCTCGACGTTCATTAATCCCTGAGAAATGCACCATGCATTCGACTTCATTGAGCATCGTTAGAGGTGGCTGAATGCATATCTGGTCTATACAATGAGTCGCAGTGCATCAAACCTATATGTGTATGAAACCTATCTATGTACCGAGCAGGTGCTGTTATCCTTCCAGACCAGTCTAGTACCAATTTGTCAACTCCGCAAGGATGGAGAGCTTGGTGAACCTTGGCCGTGAGATCAATACCATGTGTAATGAAGGGCGCCTCTAACCATTGCGCTATACGCGTCCCTTCTATATGAATATGAAATATAAATATTTGGCATCTATGGATCAACATGTAGGAAAGGCCGATATCCACTTATTTGAATGGTTCTTTAAGCTTGTTGATGTATTTTCCTTAAGGTGTAAACTTCTGTTACAGTTAAATACAACGAAACAACAATAAAAGATCTGAAAATGGGTAGGATGAGGGTCAGAATGTACGGATGCGAAATTAAAACTCCCATCATTTAAATAGTTTGTGTAAGGCCCTCACCAATGGGTGTGTGTGTGGCGCAGTGGTCGTAAGTGCCCTGTAATACCCATCGCATTGATTCCCGCGCCACTGGCCCACCAAGCCTTCCATCACACCGGGATCGGCAAATTGGCGCCAGACTTGTCTTAGAGGATAGTAGCACTGGCTCGATACATCGGTAGACTACCGCGAATCATTGTAAAGGTCGGATGTGCATCCAATCATCTCCAAACGATGCTTAATGAAGTCGAATGCATGGCACATCCCTGAGGGATTAATCAACGCCAAGAGTTTTATGCTTTTCTTTTATTTATGAGGCCCTCACCAAGCGACCAAGAAAAACCTTCATTACGAACTGTATGAGTTGCCCTGTTATGACGTTATATTTGTTACCATAAGGGCGGTTATAACCAACGCTAATCCATTAATGACATACTAGCGGACACATAAAACACATGGTGGTTTATTTTCGACCAGATTCAGTGGTATTCGGAAATCAAAAATATTTCTTTTAAGTGCATGATGTTAATAATTTATTCTACTGATTTAGTAAATTTATAAATGAATCGTGGGACACGAATCCTTATGACATCTAGCGATGTCAACATGGTATGTTCAAGACAAATAATCCACTTAGTATAAGCCAGCGAGTTTTATTACCTTTGCCATTCATATTGATTCATCACCTGAACTCTGGGAACTTTAATATTTCAAGCTCAAATTAAGTTATCTACATTTCGTTTAGACTAAAATTTTAGGTGACTAAAAACTAATGAGCAATTCAATCGTTTTCTACCAATCAGTTGACGATTCAAAACTTCATATTAGCAACAGAAAGTTCAGGAATGCGTTATAGCTTATACAGCAGTGTAAAAAAACACTGCAGTTTTTAATATCGAACTGGCCTCCAACGTAGGATATTAGGAAAAGAGCTACGACACCAAGATTGAATATCCTTGGAAATCCCTAAAAAAACAGCTGTAGCAACCCTAATCTGTCAGATTAGTTACTAGTGAGTGCTATTTGCACACCCATACCAAGAAAAAAGAAACCTGGATTAGACCTACTGAATGAAATGACGAACCGAAATTCTGCTGAGAAGTTCATCCAGATATGCGATTGTCTCCACATTTGAAGACGCCTCTTTGTAGCTAAGATTGAGATAGTGGACTGAAGAAGTGAACTCGTGAGCCTGTAATTAAATCGATCTGTAGAGTGAGATAATTGTTGAGAAACGAAAAACAATATTCCTATCTTTCACTTCCGATGAAATTAGTGCACCTATAGAACGTTGCTTAAGAAGCACCGACCTAGAGAATTCGGTAATACTAGCTAAAATATCATTCAACACCCTAGGGCACCAGTTAGTTCGCAACTGGCTGTATGACCGTCCATGTATAACGCAAAACTGCATAATTTCCCCTAACGGTAGATATGGTGATTATATGAGTTCGGGTACAGTTCATTTGCTCTCTTGTAAATCGATTGGGGATGAACGCTTTGGGGAAACGGGTAGATTCTCTGCGTCCGTACAAAAGAACTCCTAGTCGGTAAACATAAAGCTAAACCAAATAAACTCAGATCAAGGGCGTCCGTGGGGCAGTGTGTAATGTCCGAGCCCTGAAAAAAGCAACTGTGTTCCGGTCTGCCCTGGGATCCAAGTTTTGCGAATATCTCAGCATCACTGTAGTTGTAACTCACATCACATCCTGTGGTGAAAAATCATAATAGGCAGAAAATAAAAAGGTTAACAAAGAAAGGATAATTATCCAACCTGATCAAGGGCAATACTATTCCCTAATACAACTACTCTATCGATTCGACGAGATATTGATGTCGGATCACAAGTAGGGGACAGTTCACAGTTTAGCCAACGGGACATCAATTCGAACGCTGTAGCGACAATTGCCTGAACTGAGGTACAAGTTCTTACATGAAAGAAATGCAAGGAATTGCAAATGATATTCCTCCATTCTAGGAACTAACATTGTCAACTGCATTGCTGGTAAGCTCAAGACCAGACAAGAATGCCACCACTCCTCCAGTTTTCTTCGTTGGCCAAGAGTTTTGAGGACACGGCGTCGGCCATATTATCCTTTCCACATTAAAGACGTCCGACTTCACCTGAGAGGTCTACTTCTTAGCAGTGTATGAACGAATACTGTGTGCAAAAAAATAAAGGTATACTTGTGAACCATATAGTCCCATAGTACATCCGGTCGCCACTTCATCCATTTTTATGTTTCCCTAAAAGTGTAAAACGCTTCTTCATTGGGAAAAAAAAGACCAAACAGAAGTGTTTAGTCCTACTTCTACTGATGAGATGATATGTAAAAACAGAGTTCAAAACAGAGTTTAATTATACGCATCTGATTACTATCACGTAATAACGTACACCTCCCAATGGTTTATCGCCTCACCGTCACTGGGAGGTGTTGCAGGGTGTCGGGCTGCGGTGTACAGAAGAGGGATTCATCCTCGCAGCCGGGTTTCCCAAGCTGAGTCCGGTGGTTCCATCAGGAAGCCCAGCTAAGGGAAAGCCAATACCAGGATCCACTACCGCCCTGGTACCAAATTAGTCGCATGGTGGAAGATCTCCCTCTGATCCACAGGGGCCGCGACTGCCTCTAGTGGTGATGACCTGAGGTAGACTTTGGCCAGTATGACCTCGAGACTCCAGGGAACAACAATGACTAAACCATCAAAACTCCGAAAAATGGATATTGCGCTGGGGACTGCACAACCAGTGAAGACGGGCCATCTAAGTATCGTAGTAATAACGTACAACTCAAAACCAAAGACTAAACTCCTTCACATGTTTTTATACGAATCAAACATATTGCAAATAGTATAGTAAGAGAACACCCACTTCTAATTTAACAATCTGTTTTTCATCTTCAAATTCCAAAAAGTCTCTGTTTGATGCGGTCGAGATCACTTCACTGTCGTCATAGTCTTCTGGTACAATCAACTCTTCTTCTGCGATCTCCTACATTCTTTCTAGAGAATTCCCACTACAAGACAAACTACTGTCAGAACTCACTTTCAAGACACTAGGCCTGATGCTGATCCTCTTCGTAATTGTTCCAATCACGAACGCCTTCTCAAATAATTCTATGTCCTCCAACTGCTTATATTCTATTTCTCCTAATTACGAAAAACAGTCTTACTTCAGCACAACCTCTCCCAAGCTATAGAAATTGTACTCCATACCTATCTGTTTCTTTCCGGCATCAAGTATCCTCCGCTTAAGTGCCTGCAACCTAGCCACATATATGTGATTGTACTGCCGTTCAAAAGCGTTTTGTTTGTCATCTGCTGTTAGTGCGAATTTTTTGGACCTATCCGTATATTCGAGACGAATACGATCAATCCTTACCATCTGAAAAACCTAGATGTAGATCCAACCATGAATAACAAAACTGCATTCCGACGATATTTTTGTTATTGCAATCGCACTGATCTATCTACACTTCTCATGAGGGCGCGTGTGGGATAGTGGTCTGAGGCACTCTGCAACACACACGTGGAATCGATCCCCGCGCCCATGGCCAACCAAACCTTCCATCCCTTCGGAGTCTCCAAATTGGTATCAGACTTGTCTGGTAGGATACCATTACTGGCTCGATGCATCCGCAGAACACCAGTAGTCAGTATAAAAGCCAGATACGCATTCAATCACCCACAAACGATGTTTAATGAAGTCGAATGCATAGCGTATCCCTCAGGGATTGGTCAGCGTCGAGAACTTGAGAGCCTTTTATACTTCTCACACCGTAATTATACAGATTAATACAAGGTTTGTGACACCTAAAGGATACGATACTGCACAAATATTTAATAATTTATTAAACAGCATGGAACAGACGTGTTCCCTCAGTTGCAAAAAGAAAACTTTTTCCGTGAAATATTCTATAACCCCTCTCCTCCCATACTTACTTAACATACTAATACGATGATGCATGAAGTAGAGACAAAGTGAATGCCATAAAAAAAGAAAAATGAAAAGAAAAACAAGGAGAGAACATTAGGCACGGTTGAAAACGCCAATGTAGAGCGGATAACATAGAATTAGATCTCACATAAAAATCTTTGGACTACTCACGTAAATCCCAAGACGCGTAATATATAAAACCCACCTAGGAAGAAAAACTATAACTTTCTTGTCAATCTAACAACGGATTGAGCATATCACATCGTATAGGAACAGATGTTCCAGAATAGGAAAACTAGGATGATCACATGTTTAGAAAAGAGAAGACGAAATAACAAGGACTGCACCATACATAAAACGAAAGCAAGAAACATAACCGATAAACAATTCTCGATACTCTTGTTAAGCTAACAAATTCCTTATCTCACGATGAATATAACATAAGAAGTCCACATATGACATGACGTTTGGCCCGGAACGATCCTAAAAACAATTTTAGAGGTTTGGCTAATGGCAAAAGGGTTGAATTATTTGCTAAATGTTTTCTTTAAAAAACAGACGTGATTACCTCAACAAGGAACTTCTTCATCCACGGCTCTAGGGCATCCTTCTCTCGAACAACAAACATTTTCCTTCTTCGTGGACCAACCTGCAACAAACGGGGAAAAATTTATACCAACAGGTTTAGAAATGAACTATACAACTAAAACCTCTTGAAGCAATTCAACGACGCGTCGAAGTGCTCTTGAGCGAGCGTTGTCCTTTTCAGGAATTTGAACCTGTATATGGATACCTTCTACCATGTTTTCGAATTCATATACAGAAGATGTTAAACATTTCAATAGGCTTGTGAGAAATGCTTGTCAAAGAAATCCGAGTTGATACACAGATATTCTGCGATGACTGTGCATCATTAACCATAAAAAACACCATAAATGCAGCTATTTCCTCCCAAAGGTTTCCCACCTCATTGTAGCTGGGAGGGGTCCATGGCTGTCGGGCAACGATGCACAGCGGGGGGATTAATCCCCTAGCAGAGCCTCCCAGGCTGAGTTCGGCGTTTCCATCAGGAAGCCCAGCCAAGAGTAAACCGGTACCAGGATCCACCACCGTCTTGGTATAGAAGTATTCATATGGTGGAAAATCTCCCTCTGATCCACAAGGGCAGCTACAGCCTGTGGTGGTGACATGGGACAAACTTTGGCCTAGGTAACCTCGGAACTCCAGGGAGCCACAGCGGCTAAAGCATCAAAACTCCGAAGCAATAGAAATTAGACCGGGGTCCGCACAACTAGTGAAGACATGCCATCCAAGTATCCTAGTAAGTGATATAGCTGCTTTATGCGATAAACCGCAGGAAGTTCATAGTACCGCTTGTACGCTTCTTTAAAAAATCATCAGCCTACTAGTTCACAATTGAATTAAATGGGTAGCGAATGGGAAACAGATATCTTAAAACCTGAACAACAGAAAAGTTGAAACAAACATACATTTTCGGTATCAAGCATAGCGACACTGTTCACTCCAAAAATATCATTCACCCATGCGGCGGCGACACTGAGACCAATCCAGAGGAAAAGCACAATTCCGTTGTCGATTAGATAAGCCTGGAACTCAGAACTGTAGCAATTCAAGCAAAATTTAGATAGATCTACTTCTGGTGCTGTGCATACAATACCTTTGTATTGGAGAGGTTTTCGTAACTGGCCCTAACACTACCAGCAACTGATGTCATTTCTGAAGGATCCTGTAGTTCTAGATGATCAACAGGAACGATTCTAGAAATAAGTAGAACATAAGCAGGAAACACCACTGAATAACATAAACAATTTTCAACTCCACTTTGGATATAAGAGCAACATTGAGTGATCCATTCGCATTCCTCGAATTAATTCAATCATCCAAACCTTGTCATCGACCGTCATTTCGCTACCTAGAGATTTACCGACTAATAATATCAAATGAACCGCATAACAGAAAGAAAAAACTTATCCATGAAAATAAAAAGCAAGTTTCCCAAAACCGAAAAAAATCTGTTGAAGAAACAAACCTCCACTGATAGCATCATTTTTGACAACGGAATTAACAAATAAAGGTAAGAGTTTCAATGTCTCCGGCAATATAAGTTGACCGAGAGGAGCTGATTCGCTTACTTTCTCTCTTAAAAATAACTAGTTCTTAACATCAAACAAATAAGTAACGAAGGGCTAACCTATATGTGGCCAAGATCTGGGCACAACGCTGGAAAATTTGTTCCTTCACCTCTTTCAGTCCTCGTTCACGATTTGTTTGTACGGCTAAAATTGCGCTATATATATGTAAACATATATATATACGTATATGTATATACGTATATATATATATATATACATTCATATATATACGTACATGTACATGCATATGCCTACTTATATGTACACATGTATGTACATACAAACATACATATATACATGACTACACATATATACATATATGTATGTACATATATGAAGTATTTAATATGTATTCTTTCTTTGATGAGCTTACACGAGGTTGATAATGATATTTATTTTCGGCTAACGTTTCGACGTCGTCTTCCTCAGAGCCGATGACCCGAATCGATGGTGGATACCTCATTCGAGGAGATGGCTCACTGAGGAAGACCTGACTCGACACGAAGGCGAAGCTGCCACGTCGAGACGAATAACAAGCGTAGACCACCGACTCCGATCATCGGTTATGAGGAAGACGAAGACGTCGAAACGTTAGCCGAAAATAAATATCATTATCAACTTCGTGTAAGCTCATCAAAAAGGAATACATATTGAATAGTGATACCGAGGTTCCAGGAAAGTCGGTTTCGAAATAAAATATTCAGTCCAAAATATCCGCAGAATCATTACCTAGCAGTAATCAACACAAATTCTTGGTTGCTAATTCACTATCTCTCCGATCTAACTTTACCATACAATAGAAACCCAGAAGGACTCTATTTTTTGCCCAAGAAGACGAACCTATGTGAAAATTTCAAACACCACCCATTCTGCTCGTTATCTGGCGTCAACTACATGCTTATTTGAGTTACCTCTAACAAGATGGGTGCGTGTAGCGCAGCAATCAGAGACGCCGTGCAATACGCATCGAATCGGTCCCGGTGCCCAGTCTCACCAAGCCTCCCATCCTTCGGGGGTCGGCAAATTGATACCAGATTGGCTCAATACGTCGGTACGCCACCGCAAATCATTGTAAGGACCAGACGTGCATTCAATCATCTTTAACGATGAATAATGAAGTCGAAAGCATGGCTCATCTTCCGGGGACTGATCGACGCCCACAGCTTTACCCTTTATCCTTTTACCTCCAATAAGAATGATACTCAACAGCAAACTCAAGCATAGCGAGAGTACAAAGTTTCATTAAATCCCATTGCAGTGAACAACGCTTCCGATTTTGTTGAAAAGGAAACACTCATTGAAGCTTGTACAATCAAAGGACCCTTTTTGTGTCCAGGACCTGTATGACAAACTTTAGCAAGAAAGAACCAAAACTAGCTGATTTTTTACGACACATATTTAAAGAATGGTCTGTGTTAAGATCTCAAAAAACCATGTCTATGAAAAAAGTTAGTTTTTGATATGGAAATTAATGCTCAAACATGCATACTTTCGAATGCTCCACAAATCTAACTATTGCGCAAAATCGAACATACTGGACGACTTAACCACTTTGCTAAGCAAGAAACTGCCAGTTACGGTAGCCTCAAAGAGCACCGAAAATCTGAAAACAATGAACAGCGATACTGCTGAAACGTCAGCTAGCGTTGTATTGTAATGTGTTTTTATGGAAGTAAATGTATGCTGTTTAAAAACCTCGCGATTGCTGAACAAGAAAACGACACAATGAACAGCGTGCTCGGCGTCCACTTCTTGGACTGCTTCGGATAACTCGAAGCACATAACTACATGGGAATATAAATTGTTCCCCAATGATGGAATCGTTGTGAGAAATACACCCGTTCGATGCTAACCCGTGTAAACCAAGCCTCTCATTGTTCCGGAGCCGAGGAATTTGTATCACACTTGTCTGCGAAAATCTAACGAAGGTTAGAAAATGTAGTGAAGATCCGGCAGCGCTCTAGAAGAGCTAGGGTTCGAAGAAGGTTTGTCTTGACCGGCAACCAATGATATTTATGAAAAAAACCGAAAATTTTGAAGCAGAAGTATAATGCACACGCATATCTGGAAACTTTCGTTAATGAAATATGCGACGAAACAAATCGAATCAGTGAAGAAAGAATCCTGACAAGTAACGCTGCATTTATAAATATGTACGGCGCGGACCCAAGTTTTGCGAATATCTATGCATCGTTGTGGTTATAAATAATATGCACATATATATATATATATGTATATATATGTAAATACTCATATACGCATACATATCCATGTATATATGCACATGTATCTATACAGATACATAAATAATTTCCATATTTGTATACACATATATAAAATACTAATGTTATTTAACATTTTGCAGCTAGTTACACTTTGAAACATAAGAGAACGTACCATTTTTGAGAAGGTATGAAACAAGTGCTCCTTGATCGGCTACCCTGTACAGTTGGTTATAATCAGATGACACGGGAAGACAAAGGTTGAGAATTCGCAGGCGACGTTGCCCACTTACAGACGTGAAAAGAATTGCACACTAAATTGCACACTATAAAGTTTACAAGGCATTTACGGTGAAAATACAAAGATGATTGAGATCTGTAGGAACTAAGCATACTAGTAAGATTGGACGACTCAATACATGCATACAAGCAACAGAACAATATCACTCCACCGTTTTTATTTTGCAATACGAGCCACGTAGCGTTTCACAGAAGACTGTTACACCCCGTTCAAAAGAGAATGCCCTATTTCTCTTGATTCTTTTCATTACAAATGTCATTATCTATGAGTACAATTGTGTTAAACAAAAGCAGACGAACAAGAGACCTGAATAATAGCGTTCTGGTCAGAAAGTTTATCATCGTGTTTCAGCTCTGCGAAGAAAGACTGAAAGAAAACGTTAAGTCCATTATATATTATTTAGAGTTATAACAACGAAAAACGGCGAAAACCTTGTCCTCGTCTATTGATGCCATTTCCAAATCAGTGCTATTTTCCATATAGAAAGAGCCTTGGAAAGTAATAGGTCGGATACCTTAAGTAAGAGTATGTCTAAAATCCTAAACTTGCATACTTTGGCACTTTTCTAAAGTCTAGCGATATTAACAGCTATATAGAGAATTTCCCTAGCAAATAGTGAATCCTCTATAGAAGGCACGAACCAGCACTTGATCGTACTCTGGCCATACAGTCAAACGCTATTTGGCGGGAGACATCATGAGAAAGATCGGCAAGAAAACGAGGAGCATCTTTTTCAGCCTTAATATGAATACACTTTAAAAAAAAGCTGGATCCTAATGACACAAAATAATGGGTGACAAAACTTCAACAATATCTACCACGAAGTACTGGTATTTGTAGACGTTTCCACCCGTAACCGCGGAAAGCTGGGCCATCGAAGCTACGTCGATAAAGGAATTCGGGAACAGAAAGAGGTCCACTGTTACACCAGCTTTAACACATTGTTCACCGAGTTTTGTATAGAATTCGCCTTGCGGCATGAGAGCCGTCTGAAACATGTGTTCATTAAAGAAGTCGAAATCGCTTTTGAAAATCAACGCATGTACCCCAAATACAATTTCATAACGTTTTCCAATTGTAGATTTAAATACTAGTACTAAACATCGATCTCGTCCTGCTAGGGATCACAAAGAATGGTTGACAAAATACCAAAAGCAGATAGGAAGTCCACTCAATCCAAAACAGGACTCCGAATAGCTATTGCGCGAAGATCTTAAAAATCAGGGACGAAATGTATATCTACTTAAATCTTATAAAAACATCTCACTCTTTTTCATAGTCGGAACTAGTTAAACATAATTCAGGATCTCGGGACAACGTCAGATTATCAATTTAATGCTATTAACAACATACTAACAATTTATTATCGGTAGACAGTCATAGTCAACAACAACCACCCTGTGTAAAACAGCGCTGCTTGGTGAGGTTGCCTCATTCGAGCAGCGCTCCAATGAAGAAGATTCGACTCGATATGTGGACCATCGATTTGGACCATCAATTCGGAGATTTCCCGACTCGGAAAAATGGATGGTTTAGTGAGATCGAAAAGCATTCAAAGCGGCACCGTGTTCGTAAAGAATGGTATTACTATCACAGCGAATGTTTCAAATTAGTTCATTTAGAGCACACCTCTAGCACCGTACATAGCTCAGGAAATTCTCATATCAATATTTCTAAAATGAAAAAAAAAACCATGCATGGACCAACGACTACAACATCAACCTAAATATTATGCTTCTGAATACTCAGAATGAGTTTATCTTCACTTCGGAATAAACTTTACGACAAAAAAATCATACACTTCCCAACAAATTTTTAAAAAAAAAAGTCGACCTCTTTTGCAATGGTTAGTCAGGCTTGATATTATAGCAGTTAATATTCTAAACTAATAAATAGAACAAGTTACAGCACTCGCGAATACTGTCATGCTTCATTTATTCACAAGCAGTTCGGCATATTTCTCTTTCATCAGAGCTTGGAACGCTCAAGTTAACTGCAACCTAATCAATCAATCACGTCAATAACCTTAACAGAAAAACTACAATAACTGCAATATAAAACAAACAATAGAAGGTAAGTAATAAAATATAAAATTATCACATGATACTTTGCCGTAAAAAATTACAGTAGACAGTAAATAGAAGGTTAACATTGTGATTTCGACTACAGCCTCAACTTAACTGGGTTCAAAGCCAATTTCTACTCCCCAGATCAATCCCGTTGACGGGTCATTGCTGATGGCACTGCTAGATAGAAAACTCGCTGAGAGACACGCGAAATGAAGAACCCAGATGGTGTGAAGGTGAAGGCGTTAGCCTGCAGAAAGGGTAATAGCGTTTTCGGTCCCCACCACAGACACCAGCGGTTCGGAATTTTGCAAATATCTCAGTACCTTCGTGGTTGTATTTCACATGATACTCTGCCGTAAAATACAGTAGACAGTAAATGAAAGGCTAACATTACATTACCTATCTCCAACCGAAAAAAAAGGCATTTTGTCTACAATGTTATTGAAAACTACGTATTGTGGTTTTTTTCGCTGATGTAAGGAAGGTGTCTGGTTGAATAGGTTGCAGTTAACTTTTGACCTTTCCAGACTCTGAAAGCGAAACCCGTAGAGACTTCAACCTTCGTGGACGAATAATATAACAACTTCGTGTGCGTTTATTCAATGCCGAGTTTAATAGAAGAGTCGGTCTTGGGCCATTCATTATCATGCTCGCTCGCAGAAACAATTGCTTTTAATGCTTACAAAGATGTTTTTAAATTCGCTTACAATACACATACAGGAAATTGCTGTATTTTCCTTTTTAACAACAAACTACATCCAATAAACGCCAAAATTCAGCAATACATAACAGATTGACCTTCTTTTCAAAATAGGACAAAAAAGAACTGGTTCCAATCTTTTTTGTCTCCCTTGTTTAAACAAAGATTCTCCACTTTTGCAAACATTTGCAGAAATTGCAAACTACCTTTTCCTTCTCGGTTCCAAGGAGACTTCTCTCATTTCTTGCCTTTAGCTTACCAGGAGCTTCAAATGTTGGCAATGAAGTAGAAAACACCATCAGCTTTCCAACTCGATCGGCACACTAGGTATACCATATTTAGATTAACGTTGAGGCTAACACATAATTGGTTAAGTTGCACATTAAAGGACAAAACTTCAATACTATGCACGATGTCCGATTCACAGCTACGGCTGCGGAAAACAGCATATTTTAATCGTAATTATACACTTATTTTAATGCGTAGCGGCAAAAGTGGATCTAGGGCACAGATCTAGGTAATACACCCTTGCATTTATCTACGTTACTAAGCAAGCAGATGAAGCGGGTCTGGTGCACTTGTAAATTCCAAAAAAAAAGTTAAATCAACATAACAGGGAAAGTTTACTACTTTACTTATCAACAACAATTTGCGTTAATCTGCTTACATAGAAGGGCAAAGAAATGCCAATAGAGTGATGCTAATCTTTGCGAATTTCAAGGGATGCTTATAGTGCAATTGTCGGAGGCGCTATTCAGTACACAGTATATTTCTAATGTTCTTCACATATATTTTCCAAACATCAATAAATTTTTGCGCAAAAGTAAGCGACCGGAAATGAAATGTATTGAGTGCACACATATCGTTCAATCTCCCCACATCCATTCCAACCAACACTATCATGCGCAAGATTGTAAATGAAAAATATGAAAGAACAAACCTGAAGAGCATCTAAACCAGCCTGCACAACAGGTCCCAGTATTGTTTCAGTGATTTTTGACTGTGCAAATAAACGTGGAATCTCTGCGAGGACAGCTCGAATAGACTGAGCTGCTTGGGAATACGGCAACAGAAGGCCATCAACGATAGGAACAAACATGTCCCCGACATCACCTTACAAATGTAGTTCGAAAAGAAAGTAACAAAAGCAGAAAAACTTAAGCGATTAAACAGATAACCCTAACCTACTACCATCACAGACGGTTGTGCAGCAGATAAATCGAAGAAATGAACTACTTGGTCAAAAGCTGCCAGCCCAACGTGCACAACAGACTCAGAAGCACCGAGATCTCTGATTATAAAAACGCTTAAAATACATATGCCGTCCATTAGAGGCCTTATCATCGCTGTCAATTATTATCAAGAGCGGTTATCAACCAAAATAGTGTAACACCTTACTTCGGCAACTGCTGAAGAATCCGCTCCAGATGCGAGCACACAACTTGCAGCATACCATTATGTATTGCATTGTAAGAAACATCAATCATGAAAATAAAAGCGGGCTCTTTTGGAGGTAGACCGTTCTGTAAATAAAAACCTCCAGTATTTTGTACAATAAAACGAGATCGGGAAACGTTGACATCAAGAGGGTGTAAATGCAAATCGTGCTGCAAGTGAATTGAAGGAAAAAATTACCTTACAGTATTGTTTGGTTGCTATAAATTCGTAGGCTCCCAAAAATAATTCTGGGCGATGCTCAATATCAGTGCGACGACCAGTGTGGTCCAGATGAGCGAAGTAAACATCTTCCACTTAAATTTTGGATAAATCAACCTCTTTTCTTACACAAAGAAATCATATGACAGGCAAACTGCACAGTTAATGCTCGGTAAGTGAATAAGGATCTGAAGCTTAGACTGGAAGTTAAGTGTATTAGAATTGACATGGATGCAACTATGATGATTTAAAAAAGTTCATAAAGAGCATACTGCTTCACAACGGCTTACCTGGCGTGGAACCATGGCAAAATGGACAGCGAAACCGTCTACCTCCATCTTGAAATTCCATGAAAGGACACATGTAGGCTTTGCAGCGCTGACATCGCACGGGGCCACCCGGTCCAAGATCTATGAGTGGAGGAGCGCGCTAAAATAATTTCTGCATGTGATGGACGACCCACTAAAGATCATACAATCCTTAAAGAGCTTTAATATAGATTTATTACAATTCCTTACTTCATTTGGATGAAGTGTCGCAAACGGCGAACAGGCGACAGCGAACGGAATTTGTGCTGCTTTTAACATGTCGTTTGACGCCGGTGCCATATATAACGTTGACCTCATCAGCCTTGGAGAACAGTTCCCTCAAAAAAGGCATGAAATTCAGAAAGAAATTGTGGTACATCTGTGAAAATAAGAAGATTCAAACCTTGATCGACAGCAAAGAAGTCTGTTGAGACAAGAGGAGGAGGGTTAGCATGTGGATAACCTGCAAAGTTCTTCTTTAACGTGGAAGACTTCGCGAATTAGCTTTGGGAACATATGGATGGTTGGCGTGACCTTATAAAGAAAAGACGTACCTGTTGGGAACTGTCCTGACTGAGCAGAATCTATCTCCATAACTTCAACCTGAAAAAAATATTTAGCGAAAAAAGCATATTAGATCTGATAACTCCCCACCGCACTAGGCATCATATTTGGATCAAGTCGTTGTTGCGGTTGAGGCTGTGGCTGCCGTGTGTGCATAGGTGGACCACTCGGAAATCCTGCAGACGGAAAACCAGGTCCTTGTGGATAACTAGGAACTGCTGGTGGTATACCTCCTTGGACACTTGGAGCGGTACCAAAATGTGGTTGAACCCCTACAACTATGTAGGATTTTACACTCGATAATTAGACAACCTCAAACAATTAAAACTCAGAAAAGCATACCTGGTGGTCCCGGAGATTGAAAACCATCTTGAGAATTTGCCATGGCAGTGCTACCGCCACTTATGTTTGGAAAATCAGGATAGGCTTTAGCACCTATGGGAGGTGGGAACAAAGGCGCCCCTGGAACTCCCGGCGTATGCCCACGGGCATCTACTTGTGGTTGCTGAAGCTGGTTTGGATGGGGCGGATTTGGTGACTGAAAAGGACCAGGTTGTGAAGGAAACGAACTTATTTGCTGAACCTGCTGATGAGTCGTTCCATATGTTGGATGCGTAGGATGGGCAGCATTTGAAAATTGCTGCATGGACTGTCCAGGAAACACCTCTTGACGTTGCCGACCAACCGACACTGTTGACTCAGAGTTATTTGTCAGTGCAGAGGCAGTACCATTGCTCGGAGGCAGTGCAGGTGGAATGTGCTGTAAATTCTGAGAGCTATTCAAATTGTTACTTTGCGTAGCTTGTAAGCCATTTATGGCAGCATGATTATGGGTTTGTGCAGATTGAAAACTCATTGCTGATGACGTAATGCCATTTACTGCTGGAACTGTCGGTTGGTAAGGAGACGATTGAGGAGTAGGTCCAGGGTGTACGTTTCGCATTGCGGGTTGCGTAGGAGGCGCACGACCAGTGGGATATCCGTACAAGGGTTCGTGAAATGGTTTAGGTAATGTTCCAAATTGTGCTGTAATAAAGTCAGAATTAAACCCTAGAAAAGCAGAATAGTTCTATGTCCTTTAAAGAAGAAAACCAACTAGTCTGCAGCGAATCATTGGCTGCATCGACACTCTGCGGAAGAAACGACGCCGTGGTGGGCTGTATCTCAGGTCTTCCCCCACTTGAAGGAGGAAACGGAGGTGCAAACATTGCCTCCTAAGAGAAATTTTGAAAAAAAAAAACTAAGATATTCAATTCGATTGAGATCAAGAATCTAGCAAGCACAAAACGACCAGGTCGTAGAGGAACCAGATGGACTACGGGTGAAAATACAAGCTTATAAGCAAAGACAAAGAAACACCACAGCGCAGTACTACTTCAGCTCGATTGTACAACACTAAATAATCCAAAGTATTCCTGGCAACGCTCCAGGTTCCATGTCACTAGCACAAAGTACTGGGATCGACGATGGATACCAGGGTCTTCCATGTGGGACCTAAATTGATTTGTTGCGTTGATGTCCTTACCTTTTTCGTTTCGTTTGGTTTTTACTCCAGTTATGTTCTATACTTATTAGATGTTGTTCTGCAGTTATTTCAGACGAAGTGGTTAAAATTATTCCGTACAAATCACAGTTTTCACGTCTTTATGTTTACCATTGGAACAGCCGAAGTACAAATCTTTTAATTGAAAAAACCGGTTTTCTATAAACTTCAATATCGATGATCGATATATCGATTTATGTGTTCTTATAAACTGATTTGACAGATCAGTTCAACACCAATATCAGGATCCGCCAGTGTCCTGGTATCAAATTAGTCGCATGGTGGCAAATCTCCGTCTGATCCACAAGGACGGCGATGCCTGTGGTGGTGAAGACCTGGGGCAGACTTTGGCCAGGCTGTCCTCGTGATTCCAGGAAACCACGATGGCTTAACTAGCAAATCTCCGAAAAATGGAGATTAGCTGGGGCGCACACGACCAGTGAGGACGGTCGATTCAAGTACCAGGTAAGTATTAAGTATGAACTGATCTTTTTGAGCGGATATGAGGTCGATATAGTTGACGTTGTAGTTGCTGTCGTTGTTCGTTGACTGCCCAGTCCCGCTCGTAAAAGCATGGCTCTGAGGAAGGCGAAATCGCCGATACGTCATCGGCCATCGATCAAAAACAACAACAACGACAACTGTACCAACTTCGCATCAACTCAACCAGATCATCAAACGATCGTCAAAATCGAACTTATCAAACGAAGGCGACTACACAATGTATGCGGACTACCAGAGGACAGTCACCGAGTACTGGACATCGAACTGCGAATACTACGCACCTGTCTACGAAGCCGACAAAACCAGATGTTCGCCAAGTGGAAGAAGTGCGAGACGAAGGAAAAATTTTGTGCTCAATATTTGGAGGACCGTCTCTGGAGTAGAATAGTGGGCGGGTCAGTGTTGATTTGCAACTCTATTAGGTCTAATGCTAAAGTAACTTTGCGGAGAAAATTCAAAGACCTTTTGAGTAGATCGCATAACACGGCTTCAAGAGCGCACAAAAATATCGCTAAAGAACATCAAACAGATCACGTTAGGATAGGTAATGTGCAAGAAAATTCAAGGCTAACTGTGTTAGGAGGCATGACTCTCTCTGACGGTGCGCACTCGTTATTAGAATTGGGACCAAGTTTCTCACCATCTGAACACATTTCTAAGGTAACCTTGCGTAGGGTCGCATGTAGTGTTCATGAACTTCAAGATAGACTCCGCGAAAAAGCTAGAGATGAAGCGCTAAGTAGGCGCCAACAACAACAAATTACCATTTCCTCGACCGTTCTTTAGACAACAAGAGCCCAATAATGAGGTTGATGTTAAATTTCGGATGTTTACGAATGAAACTCTCGAAGTCCTTAATCACTATCGCGCGAAAAGATACAGCTCCAACCTCACTCCAGTGCAAAAACGTGGTATGCGAGAGGTACGAGACCTGATAAGGTTGAAAACCATAAGACTTTCCGTTAGTGATAAGGGTGGAGAGTTTGTCGTAATTCCTCATCAGTTAGGTGTGGAGATAACGAAAAAGCATCTTGAAGATGCTTCGCTTTATCGCCCATCATCTGAGGAGGAATTCAAAAGTAAATTCCGAAAACTAAACCACGAATGGGCCAAAATGGCAGGGGCTGCTGGTTTGAAACCATCAGTTATCTCTCAACTTAAAGTTGCCTTACCAACATGCCCCGTCTTGTACTTACTTATAAAAACTCATAAGTTAGTATCCAGCGATGATCTTGCGTCTACCGATCCATCACTATTTAAGGTTAGACCTATCATTAGCTGTGTAGACGGGCCAACGGATAGGATAACGCACTTTTTAACCCCAATATTTACCCAGTTGTTGAAACACATTCCAGCCCATCTTACGAATACCCAAATGTTTCTGGATCGTTGACGTACTGCACAGCCCAGCAGCACGTACGTGATAGAGTCCTTCGACGTTGCCGCCCTTTATGCAAACGTATCGATTGACTCCGCAATGCAAGCCATATTCGAACTCCTTATACAACGCCAAGGAGAAATAAACATGTGTGGCTTTAAGACAAAGCAGTTAATGGCACTCTTAAAAGAATGCTTAAGTTGCTCAATCTTCAGGTGATCCGGAAAGTACTACGCTAAAATAAGAGGGTTGGCAATGGGACAACGACTGGCGTCAAGTCTTGCCATTGCGTCTAAGGTGGAAGCACTAGTGATCGATCTCGGGCCATTACTCTGCTGCAGATATATAGATGACTATTTTGTCCTTTGCTCAACACAAGAGGAAATGGACAAATGATTCGAGTTGTTGAACGAACAGTTCGAGCATATCAAGTTCACTCGAGAGAAACCGAAAGAAAACTGGCTTCCATTCCTGAACGTCCAAATTAACCTCTCAGAAAATGGCTACATTGCGAAGTAGTATCGAAAGCCAAGTAGTTAAAACATCTTGGTTCATTACCTCTCCTCTCACCCCTTTCACACGAAAAGGGTGCTTGTAAGAAACATGTTTCGAACAGCAACCAATGTGTGCACGGGAAGAGAACAGAAAGAGTCTCTGAACTTGGCACGGCAAATAGCAATTTCTAATGGCTACGAAACTGCAGCTCGGGATAGGTGTAGAGGAAATCGGAGGCCCTCAAACGACAACTCTAGCGACAAAAAAGTCCCGTTTATCCTACCGTTCATCTCAAATGATGTAAGTGCAGCTATAAAACGCTGATTAAGAAAGGCGGATCTAAAGAAATCGGTAAATGTAGTTGAAACTACCGAGTACCCTTAGGCGCCAGTTAGTTCGTAACCGCCTATATGACCGTCTATGTGCAACGCAAAATTGCATAATTTGCCGCAATGGTAGAGATTGCATGAGTTCAGGTACAGTCTATCTAATCTCTTGCAGAGCGTGCGGGGACGAATACGTTGGTGAAACCAGTAGACCACTCTGCGTACGTATAAAAGAACATCTTGTTGGCAAACGTAAACCAAATACTCCACTAGGCACACATAGGACGCAGAGATATAACGGAGAGGACTTTGAACTGCGTGTCACGATCCTCGCACAGGAATCGAGAACAGAAGCGTGCAAAACTCTCGAGGCGTTCTGGATTAACTCCAGAAATCCGAAAATGAACCGCAGGGAAGAATGCCTCATTATCACGCGTGATATTGGCCAGTATATAAGACTGCTATTCTGGAGGAGCACATTACGCTTCCATGTGAATTCTGTGCGGTTGATCTTCATGCGACATACTCAGTGGAAGACTCATAGAAAACGGTTACTGTCAAAGACTGTGTTCAATGTGATCGAAATCTTGGTTTAGCGTTTTCTCTGCTTGGTTATGGAGGTGTTTGACCGGACGGGTTGCTATCACTTTCCAGGCTCTGAGGAAGGCGAACTTCAGCTTGTTCGTGAATAAAGAATGAAATAACACCTCGCGTTTGCTCAACAAGAATACGAAAAATTGCTTGATCAACCAGATCAATTCATAAGAACATATGAACATAGAAATCTTTTCGTGTTGGCTCAACCAAGTATTTAATATTTGTTGAAGTTTCGCTAATTTATTACAACCACCAATATAAACACAATAATGCTAAAATATTTGCAAAACTCCGGACCGCAGGTGTCTGCGGGAGGGAACGAACATGCTATTGTCCTCTCCGGGGAGTAACTCGTTCACCACCATACAATGCGGATCCTTCGTTTGGCCAGTCTCTCAGCTAGTTCTAGGCCAGTGTAAAGTTTACGTGTTTTTGCTATTTGATCGCGCTCTTTTAAGAAATAACTACGTGAAGGCGTACTCCATTAACTGTTTAGTTATCAGCTTCACGACTAATTAGAAGCGGTTTGAGAAACGACTTGAATCCTTCGGTTCCTCACTATTCAGTAGTTTGACGACAATTTAGCACTAGTCCTTTGTAAGTAGCACGATGATTCCGACGCTTTAAAAGCTGAGCGACATGCTTCTTCATCGCTTTCTTGGAATTGTTTATGTTTAGGTCACTTTAACTTCGTTATGTCTGAGGACGTCTTAATCCAGCTTATCGGTTTCTAAGCAGTTTTTTAGAATAATGATTGCTTCATTGCAACGTCCCACAGTCAACTGCATAACTGTACACTATCGACACTTCAGCAAACGAATTATCCAACAATTCGAAATCCACAAGACGTAGGCATCTCTGCAAGGACACACAATCGTTGCTTTCCTCGGAACTTCACGTTCCTGTTACACAGTTCTTGCTGACTTGGATACTTGAATGGCCCGTCCTCACTATTTTTGAGGGCTCCAGCATAATTTCCACTTTTTTTTGGAGCTTTGCTAATCTAGCCAAGGTGGTTCCCTGGAGTCTCAAACCCAGCCTGGCCAAAGTCTGCCCCGACTTCTTACTTCTATAAAATATAGTCCTTAGCTCCTTGAATTGTGAAGCTAACACAAGGCTCATAAAACTATTTATCCGACTCTATTTCCACGTTATTTTGCATCGCTAGGACATATTTTATTCATAGAGGTTTAAGTTTACCTTTCACTGAAAACTACTGCCCAGCGTACTTTTATCATCATATTCGTGTTTTCCATCAGATACATCACATTATGTACCTTTTGCTCTGTAAATTTCTACGGTCTTACACCCAAATGTTAGTTTCTCTAGGAACTAATGTTCGATCTCAACCTATATTTTGAAAGGGGCGTATTTTAGCCAGAATAAACATCACTGATTGTCCGAAATAAAAGCCATTAGAATCTACACACTGTTTGCCTAAGAGACCACCTCTTCCATGGCAGTTGTGTAAAATCCCCGACTTTTTGATGAGATGAAATCAGAGAAGAAAGTCCTGTCCTGCTGATGACACCGTTAGAGCAAGGAAAACTGGCTGAGAGAAAGTTAAATCAAGCGCCTCGATGGTACAGTGACTAACACGCCAGCCCCCGAAGGATAATCTCGGCTTCTAATCTGGCCTGCGATCCAAGTTTTGCAAATATCTCAACACCACTGCGGTTATACTTTGCGCTCTTTAACACTTTCTTGACCCCATACTCCTAGCCGTTTGTGCCGCTTATGTCTGAATTTGAATTCGTATATTTGTCGAAAGTACTGCTGTTTTGACATCATAAATCCTAACTTCTGAGTTTTGTCAGGAACAATTTGTAATCCAGTTATATGGAATGAAAGTGCATACAGTGAGCACTGCAATTATATTTAATGGTACGGTACTCGAAAACAAAACCATTGCTGGAACATATGCAGAAAATGGAGCTAAAAATCGAATGTTAATTTCTGGACAAACGACTATTAGTGGTTGGTTTTCATGCGAGTTATCGCTACCTTTGAACTCTATAATGATATATCTTTATTTAAAATGTTAATCCTGGACGTTGGAGAGAAGCAAAGCGGAAGCTGAAATGTGTTGCCCCCATTTCTATTCAAATTCAGTGTATTTTATATCAAATTCACTCGATATTCAATTTCCTAAATTACCGTATTTTTAATGAGCTGAAACGAAGTTGTTAATATAACATTTATTTCATAAACGTTAATGTTTCTGAGAATTTCCCCTTTGTTGGACACAACTTTATTCGATATCATTATAAAGGAGAAAAATCGATTATGAACTAGTTATAACTGGTTCTAAAATGGACTTATATCATACATATATATATGTATATATATATATATATATACATGATAGCCCATTTACATGTATATATATATATATATGTATACATATACATGTACATGAATATAAACATATATGTATACATATACATAACATGCACATACACATATATATTTCCGTTTACATACTAAAAGGATAAAAAGGATAAAGCTCTCGGCGTTGATCAGTCCCTGAGGAATGCGCTATGCACTCGACTTCATTAAGCATCGGTAGAGGTGACTGAATGCATATCTGGCCTTTACAATCACTCGCAGTGGTCTACCGATGTATCGATCCAGTGCTGCTACCCTCCTAGACAAGTTTGGTACCAATTTGCCGACTCTGGAGGGTGGAAGGCTTGGTTAGCCAGGAGCGCGGGAATCGATCCTATGTGTGTTGCAGGACGCCTCCGACCACTAGGCCACACGCGCCCGTATTTATATACTACGAATAGAAATATAGAATATCATATATACTAAAAGGAAGTATGGAATATTGGAGCGTAAGATGATTACGAACAAATTCGTGGCTTTCAAGCTCCGACCAACTCTTCGATCTTAGTTCGAAGTGGTTCGAGTTCTCTCACAGGAACAAGCTGGAACTGGCGTGCGAATAGAATGAACTGCTTGAAGGATGTGTTGAGATGTGGTGTCGCGTTCAATTCGCTGAACCTCCCTGCATGAGCAGTATACACATGGGCGTACACTCGAAACAGACGCCGCATTATTCCTTCGCAGACTTCCATAAAGTTCCAAGGAAACAACCGACCTTCAACGCATATTAAAAGTAGACTTCAAAAACAACAAGACTGAAGAAATAAGTACTGTATAAAATTACACCTGACGTACCTACTTGCGATGGGAAAACGCATTCGTCGTCAAGCTGCTCCTGTACCCACGCCATGACGTAATCAATGTACACCGGCGCAGAGCAGGGAAGGCTGCAACAATATCAATTCCTGGTATTTTTTAAGGTTAATTGTATATAAATAAGCCTATTAAGTACTTCCTACTCTGTCCATCAAATTGCTTTCTGGTCATGGAAAAGTAAACAGTGATAGATAGGTTAATCTGGAAACATGGTTTAGTCCAAGGCTCACATTCTGTCGTTTTCTGTCCAGAAATACTCGTACGCAGGTCCCGCCGTCATCTGCGGGCAGATTTCATTTGTACAGTAATCAATAATTGTTCCGTATAACATTCGAACTTGGTTGAAAACATCCATAACTGTAAGTCAACAACTATATCTTTAAATCCTAAATTCCTGAAATTAGAATCCTTTAGGAGTTAAAATATCGCTTTTTAAGTTTAGTTCACATAAAAGGAACAAGAGAAGATTCGTAGGTTTCCTGCTACACCGATTATTCTAATTTTCCAGGTCTTTTAAAATTTGAACAGACAGGGCATGATGTACTTTCTCATCAAGGAGTCATACCCTTTTCTATAACTGAACTGAAGCTTCAGTCATTTTTATTTGTCTAAAATTGCTGATAGCTGCTACTCGATGTGGTTATTTCCAAAAAAAAAAGTGAAGGACGAAACGCTAGATTGGAAACACGGCAGAGACTCGTCCCAATTTTTTTTCTTCTTTCTTATTTTCAACAAGCGAAGTGGTAAGTACATCCATAAAATAATTTTGCCACAACGCCTAAAGCACGAACAGTGAATAACCTAAGAATACCTCTAGATGCCCTGCCGAATCAACATTTCACACCTTTATATTATCAGCTGGTCTAAAATCTTTAAAAGGTTACTTTCTTGGTAGTTATTAAATATCAAGCCTACTGCAACATGCCAAAATGGAAAGCAGCACAACTTGGCACAGGAGGGCCACAACGGACGTGCTTCCGCATGAAAACATTGACAACATAATGGTGTAGTTTAATAAAGAAATGCACTTGTAAAAACCTCACTGTTTACAGCAAGCCATTCGTTGATGTCCTCCCCAGCAGGAAGTCTCACTACATCGTGTAAATTCCCACTACCAAGAGTAGGGGCTGTTTGCAACATCGAATCACCGTTACTAGCACTTTCGACACGCTCTCTGAGCAGATGACTCCGTAGGCTACTCATGACCTCAAACCTTGAAATTTCTTTTTCAGGGAGTATTGAAAATAAACATAGAAACGACGCTACAACCAAAGAAAAATAAAGAATACGAAATCAATCGTTCGTGATTTTTTCTCGGACAATCGGATAGTAGTTTATACGTTAGTGCAATTGATGACAGTATGGTTACAAGTACCAACGTCATAGCATTATCACTGAATCGAATTAAATATAGCTGCAATTTATTCTTGACAAATTGAATAACTTAAACAATCGGCGATAAATCACTCGACACAAGACAAACAGCATCCACACTAAAAATGAACAACAGATCCGGGAAGCGTGAAAGGCAAGCACACGCTAAGTCATCGAAGAATAATCCTAGTTCGACTCAACTACCAAGAGGGACAAAGTGCAGAGAGGATACTTTCACCTAGGTATGATACTGACCATCGTAGTAATAAACGTACTAAGAAATCTCTTTTGAAATATTTCTAAAGGAATAGATTTAATTCCAGGTTACGGTGCGTGATTGAGGTGTACACGACGAATAAATAACATCAAGGATAGGTAGTCTACAAACATATTAGAGGAAGTAGTCCGGCGTTCTTCGTGTGACATGTGGTTCACCTCGCCTAGGAGCAGGATCAAATTGCAAGAATGAATATTTCAACTCATCATCGAGTTCTACCATAGCAGCTTGGTTTCCACATCGATAGCAATAGTTCGGTGCAGAAAATACGGTAACGACATTACGATCATGACACCAGTTATAACCCTAGAAATCAAAGGAAGAGCAATGAAATAAAGTTATAATCAAGTAGCTATTCCATGAGGAATACCTCCATGACGAGCTGATGAGCGCGAGAAATAAGAGTGAGACCGTTTGTGTGGTTAAAGGTTTCAGAAATATCTTGACCAAATGTATATCCAGCACCACGAGGGGAGATACCCCATCCACCTCGATCGTCAGGATCAGACCACAACAGATCACACATCGGACCTTCGTGCGGGACCTAAACGGAGATGCTGTTACTCTTATTACTCTAAGTTCCCCAAAAGAAACGAATGATTCCAGATCAACAGCCAGTTTTACGAACCAGCGCAAGCAATCCATGTTGAACCACTAGTTTCGCCACCATTGCGATTTCCGACCATAAATTTAAAATATTATAACAGAATCTAGAATCTCACCTTTTTACAGAACAAGATAGAAGATTACTTATTCTGATTTACTCTTGCACTACAGAATGGTGAAATTTCGAAAGCTATCATTTTTATGTGAAATGTAACAATGTTGCTCAAACATTTGCAAAACTTCGAACCGTTGGCGTCTGCGGTGGGGACCGATAATAACACGACTGAGAAACAGGCTAAACGAAAGAGTCACATGGTGTGGTGGTGAACGCATTAGCCCCGGAAAGGATAACAGCGTGTGCGGTACCCACCGCAGACACCAGCGGTCTGGAGTTTTGCAAATATCCCAGTAACATTGTGGTCATATTTCACATAATGCCCTGCTATTAAAAAATAGTATCCAGTAAATAAAAATTGACGCTATCTAAAAATTTCTTTAAAACATTTTTAGATTGCTCACAGTCTGCATGAGCTTCAAAATCGACTCAATAACAAAACTACACTTGAAGCACTAAAAAGGTATAAAGAACAAGAAGTAGAGGGATTACCACCACCTCCCTTTCCTCAAGCGTTCATTAGACAGCAAGATCCCAACGACAAAGTAGATAGCTATTTTAGCGGAGTTTAGGGCAAAACTCAAAAAGAACCACTGACGCTGCAGGAAGTTGGATTCCAACCATACAGCAGCGCAAAAATGGGTTCGAATGCGAAATGCGAGAGGTTCAAGAACTAATATAATAAACATTATTAGACTATCAGTTAGTGATAAGTAGAGAGTTTGTAGTAATTCCTCGCCATTTAGATGTTGAGACAACGGAAAAGCATCTCGAAGACGCTCCAATCTATCGCGCATCAACTGAAAACGAATTCAAAATCAGCACAGACAACTGAAAATGGAATGGGTCAAGGGGAGAAGCGGGGCAGGTTCAAAACCATCCATTATTTCGCAATTAAAGATTGAATTTCTAACATTTCCCGTCCAAAAACTACTTATCTAATTTCACGAGCTTGTACCCACTGATGGCCTTGCGCCTACTGACCCCTTAACCTTCAAGCTTAGAACAGTCATCAGTTATGTAAACTGGCCCACTAATAGGATAGTTTGGCTTATAAACCTAAATCTTATCCAGCATGGTAAGCACATACGACTCTGTTACACGAATACCCAGACGTTCCTGGATCGTCTGCGTAACGCACGCCCTAACAGCGCATGCATTATGGAGTCCTTCAACGCGACCGCCCTTTATATTTACGCGTCGGATGACTCGTCAATGCAAGCCATTCGTGGGTTTTTTGTGCAATACGAAGGAGTAATAAAGATGTATGGCTTCTTGATTCTGCAGCTCATACTCCTCCTAAAAGTGTGCTTAAACTGCACGATCTTCGAATGGTCCAGGAAATACTACGCCACAAATTAGAGGGTTGGCAATAAGACAACAACGGCACCAAGGCTTGCCACTACTCTTATGTCGCAAGTAGAAGCACAGCAATCGATCTCCGGCCATTGCTGTACTGCAGATATATGGATGATCGCTTTGTCATTTTCTCAACACAAGAGGGAATGGACAAACGTTTTCAGTTATCAAATAAACAATCAGTGTACATCAAGTTTACCCGAGAAAAACCGAAAAAAAATTGGCTTCCATTTTTGAACCTTCAAATTTAACTGCCATAAAATGGCTAGATCACCAAGTGGCAACAAACCCAAGTTACAAAAATATACTGGTTCATTACCTTCCACTCAGTTCTCACACATAAAAAGAGCGTTTGTGAAAAATAGATGTTATTTGTTATGAAGATAAAAAACGCGAAGAAATGTGTTTTGAATAATGGCCAGTACATGCACAGGATGAGAGCAGAAGAACCCCTGAAGATGGAGCAGCAAGTAACTGTTTCTGATGACTATTAAACAGTAGCTGCTCGTGAAATGCGCAGAAGGTAAACTATGCTCTCAAACGATAATTCTAGCGGGAACAACGTCCCTTTTCACCGCCCTTCCTTTCCAACGAAATCAGTGCATCTATAAAGTGACCACCGACCTCCTTCACCTAAGGGATCTCGAGCAAGTTAGTCGCGAGGCTACGTGGCGCCTCCCTAGGTGGCGAATAGGGACTTAGTCGCGTACCAAAAGCGACCTTTGCTTCTCTGAAACGCAGGTGGATCCAGGGGATGGACTCCCTGTTTCTGCTGCGCCGATTTGGCACATACTTTCTGTATTTGCTAGGAGTACTCATGCATGCGTGTGTGGGTGCGTTCTTGCTTATGCGGATTGTATTCTACTGGTCAATTCGGCCAAAAGTCTGCCACCAAGTGACAGGAAAGTATATGGGAGGCGGTTAGGAGTCGCCTTCAACAAATAAGTTCCATGTCCACTCTGAGAGAGACTACCAAGCTAACCGTGAGTATACCCAGCCCCCATGTTCAGAGTCCAGCAAGCTATACGTGGGTGTTGAAATGCTAAACACAGTAAAAAAAAAAACGGGTTTCGTTCCACTGACCCCAAAAGAGCCCTCAATTTCGCAGCGTTGGGTAGGACGAGTACGGAGAGGCAGCTAAAACCTCAAGGACCAATGGAAGCTGCCTGGATCATGAAGAACTATGGTGACTATATGTACCTACGATGAACGTACACTTGCATCCGAGTTCTCGATAGAGGATTTGCTCATGCAAGCAAGAAGGATAAGGTACGACGTCATCTGCCTGGCCGAGAAGAGACGACGCCACCCATTCAACACCGTCTATAACACCGGAGAACTGTTCCCGAAACGTGCGACAGCAGAGTCGGCGTTCTCGTCAACAGAAGTTTGTCCATGAACATCGATTGATTCAAACAGTTTAAAACCCGAATCGGACGTTTACGATTAAAAAGATGTGAACCAGCACCGGCTTTGACAATCTTCGTAGTTTACGCGCCGACATCAAACTATGACGAAGAAGTCGCAGTGTTCTACATCGACTTGGAATTCTATAGGGAAAACCACATTCTTTAAGGTCATCCTTGGAGAATTCAACGCCAAGAATGGACCAAGAACGTCTGAAGAACGTCACATTGGGACCGATGGGTTAGAATGTAACGAACAGGGTGAGCGGCTATCTGAGCTCATCATAGCGACCAAAACCAATCAGGATGACTCGTGATTCCAGAAACCCCACCCTCAGCGCTGGACTTGGGAGCCTCCCAATGGAGAGCACCATAACGAAATAGACCACATCATAGTAAATATAAGGTTTTCCCTAACCGATGTCGCTGTTGTTCCAAAATTCTACCCAGGACCAGACAACCATCTCCTTTGTGCAAGATTCTATTTCTCGCGGAAAGGAGAAAAAGCCGCTAAATTCCAAAACCGAAGTCCCAGAACAACCGTAAACTGGAATTTATTCAATTCATTAGTCGGTTGTTGGGAAGATGCCATTGTCGATAACATCGACAAAGAATACGATCGGCTCATTCAACATCCTCACGCTAGCGATATGAAAGCTCAGAGTTCGAAAGTCACCAAGAGATGTCTGTCTCCAGAAACACTCGAGCTGATACGCCAGCGTGGAATCGCACAAGCTGCAAGCAACCGCGAACTAACGTCCGCACTTGCAAAACAATGCAGACAGGCGATAAAAGATCTCAGAGAGAGAAGAGCAGCAGTAATGCCCGAACCTGCAGAGGCTGGGAAAACCATTCGCAAAAGCCCAGCGAAGCTACGCCAATTACAAAAAGGGTGACCTGCGCGATATGGGAACTATCGCCCAATCTGCTTACTGTTTGTCGTCTACAAACTTTTCACTCGAGATATCCTAAACAGGACCAGCAGAACACTGGACGAAGGACAGCCATGTGAGCAAACTGGGTTTCGAAAAAGATTTAGTACGATGGATCACATCCACATGGTAACACGGCTCATTGAAGTATCGCGAGAGTACAAAAGACCACTCCGTCTCACTTTCATCGATTTACAGAAGGCCTTCCATTCACTTGAGATAGAAGCAGTCCTGGGAGCCCTTGATGGTCAAGGAGTCCCTACTCAGTACATAAAGATTCTTCGTGAGCTGTACAAAAATTTCACCACCGAGATATCACCATTCGACAACGATATTAACATTAACGTCAAGAGAGGAGTTAGGTAAGGGATACCATCTCGCCAAAATTATTTAACGCCACCCTCCAGAACGTCATGCGAACATTGGAATGGGATAATATGGGATTGGAAATCGATGTTCGGCAGTTACACTATCTTCGCTTTGCTGATGACATCGTCCCTATAGCATCAAAGAACCAAGCGGAGCGCATGCTTGACTACTTTGATAAAGCCTGTGGAAAGATTGGACTTCGACTAAATCTCAGAAAAACGATATTCATGAAGAACAGATTGGTTTAGTATGCCCCATTCACGCTCAACGGAACGAATATCTCCGAATGCTCCAGTTATATCTATTTAGGTCGGGAAATCAATATGATGAACGACCTAGCTCCAGAGCCGAACAGAAGGAAACGAGCGGCTTGGAGAACTTTCAGGAGCATCGAGAATGTAGTGAAGAGGACAAGGAACACCCGACTCCATGCCCACCTTTTCGACTCAACGGTACTTCCTACCCTAACGTATGCGATAGAAACCTGGTCGCTGCGTAAGCACTATGAAAGGCCACTCAGCGTTATCAAATACGCAGTCGAAAGGATGATGCTAGGAGTATCCGGTTTCACACAAGTAAGGGATAGGATCCGAAGCTCTGACCTGCGTCAACGATCAAAAATCAAAGATGCCGTTCTGTACGCCAAACAGTCGAANCTATTTAGGTCGGGAAATCAATATGATGAACGACCTAGCTCCAGAGCCGAACAGAAGGAAACGAGCGGCTTGGAGAACTTTCAGGAGCATCGAGAATGTAGTGAAGAGGACAAGGAACACCCGACTCCATGCCCACCTTTTCGACTCAACGGTACTTCCTACCCTAACGTATGCGATAGAAACCTGGTCGCTGCGTAAGCACTATGAAAGGCCACTCAGCGTTATCAAATACGCAGTCGAAAGGATGATGCTAGGAGTATCCGGTTTCACACAAGTAAGGGATAGGATCCGAAGCTCTGACCTGCGTCAACGATCAAAAATCAAAGATGCCGTTCTGTACGCCAAACAGTCGAAGACAAGGTGGGTCGGGTACGCAATGCGTTTGAATGACAACCGATGGACAAGAGCCGTCAGTGACTGGATTCCTCGGGATGTCAAACGTACTGCAGGAAGACCACCGACCCGATTATCAGAGTTCTTCACAAAGCCTTGAAGAAAGATATGATGCTCGACGAATCCCTAGAGCGAGCAGAACCCACTGGACTACTCTTGCACGGAACAGGGAGAAATGGAAGATTCACTGGCGCCCGCTCGAGTCACTCGACGATCAACGGGACTACAGGTGATAAAGCGCTGCTTAGATAGGGCCGGGAATTCGGTAACAGTGATAGAAATAACACTGAGCACTGTAGGACGCTGGCTAGTTTGTGACCGTACATATGACCATTTAGGTACAACGGTAAACTGCATAATATGCTCTAACGGTAGAGACGATGATTACACGAGTTTGGTACAACAGCAGCTGATCTCCTGTACACCGTGCGGTTAGGAATACAATGGCGAAACGGGTAGACCACTGTGCCTCCGTATAAAATAACATCTAGTCGGTAAATTTAAAGTTAAACCAGATACTCCACAAGGCGCGCATAAAACACACAGACATAACGGAGATTTTGGAGTAAAAGTCATTATCCTCGCACAAAAAACCAAAAAATACGCGTCTAAATTTCTTCAAGTATTCTGGATGAATTCCAAAAATGAACTGCAAGGAAGAGTGCCCTGTTACACTCATGACCTCACGCCACATACCAGGCTGATTTACTGACCGGAGCCAAGGCCATTCGTCACTTATGTAAAACACTGAGCGGCTGATCTCCACCAAACAACTAGAAGACTTACCAGGAACAAAACCATGAGTGTTTAAAAGAAACTGTTTATCATACGAGTGAAAATTGGTGTACTACACGTTTTTCTGCTGAGGTGATGGGTGTCTGACAATGTAGATTGCATGTCAATTTGACTTTTCCAGTTTCTGAAGAGTTCTGGATGAATTCTGACTCTAAGGAAGGCGAAACCGCCGAAGCATCATCTATTGGGTATTAGTAAGTGCTTTAATAACAAGCTTGCGTTTGCTCATCAAGGAAAACATCGAACATTTTTTGATTTATCATGGAAGAAGCAGAGTTTCGCACAAGAATGATTTCAGCATTAGAAAAAAGGTTCCTTGTGAACTACTAAATGTGGAGAATGGGTTTTCTAGTGGGACCAATTCTACATTTACCTGTTTTCGATTAGCTATCAAACGCATGCACATAGTGCAGCAAAAATGTTCTGTAACCCACTGAACTGAAATTGCAAAAGATGAACGATTGTTGAACGATTAACGATGAGTTCCACAACACTGGCTCCAGATGGTCATTCTCAACTACTAATGGCTACCTAGGACCTTCTTCGTCAATAACCATAGATCATGTGTGAGTGTTTTTGAACCGTGTGTCGCGTAATCGATAGCAGTCCTAACCCCACATCAAAATATTGTTCAATTTCATGCCATCCACCTAGTGGATGAAAGTTTTAATGCAACATGTTCACAGAAATACATTTATTAATTGCTGACAAACAGCCATGGCTCCACTACCTTGAATATCGCATCTAAAAGAACAATAGCTACGTCCTTCCCGATGTCGAACCAAATGTGTATATTATACATGACACACCTATGGTTACATGGCGATACAACGATCGGTCTTCGATATTCTTCGCTGTGCCAAACGCATTTATGGCAATGTCATCCATTTTTATGCTTTCATCCACATTCCCCTCACATCAGAATGCAGGAATGAAGAAATCACAAAAACTCCCCCTGACAATATGAGAATTATTCCGTTCCTTCTTAAGGCAAAGAGAAAAACCTACAGAATTTCAGGCTTATACACCTCAACTCCTACGAGCTATTAATTACCCCCACAGAAATGCTTGCAATTTCATAACTGCAGGGCACGATTTATCCACCAAACTGACAGGTAGAATAGGGAACAGCGTAATCGACTTGGAAAAACAAAGATAGATGTATATTTTCAGCTCCAACAACAATAACATCATACTGCCACAAATAACCAAACAAACATGAAAGGGTAATGTTACGAATAAATCAAAAGAAGGCAAAGGTGGTTCAAAAACCCATGTTAAGAAGAACGACTATATTTGTCGGTTACAGCGCTCGCAGCTTACGCATAACTAGCAAGTCCTTGAACATGAACAAAAGTCTAAAGAATAAATGAGGTAAAGAAATTTCCATCCTTTTAACTTTTCAACTTCGGTCATTAACTATTCATTGGAAACCATTTTTCTAAAACTGCTCTTTAAGATGAGATATGGACTTATATCCTAGCATTCTCAAGAATTTGTAGCCCCATAAGACGGTGGAACAATGCTTTACGAAACAAAACTTGCGCTAACATCTAACCAGATTTTGGTGATCAGATTTTCCGCAAATGTCGTGTTTTCGTCAAACGGATATGTTTCCATGATAAAGTGATTCAGATATGTCAACTGTTTAATGAGAAATGTCTGTGAAAAACATTGGTTAGCAGGATACTGAAATGGTGCAATCCCATGACGGAACACATAGACGTTCCTTTTTGTTCAATGACTAGTGTCTGACGAAAGGTCTTACCTAAACGACCAATCTCTCCGGAACCTCCGTTAGTTGTAAACCAATGTGGTCACAGCTAACCCGACAGGCTGTGGCTACCCATTCTCCAGAAACGATAAGAGTAACTGTTAATATAGGAAAACGTGGAGCTCATCATATCGAACGAGAAAAGCCATATGGACAGTTCACGCCCACGCGATATTTACGAGTACAAACTTTAGTCGGGTGCTCTCGAACCGATCGATGGTTGGGGTGGAATACGGGTGATGATGGTAATGGTGATGATAGCGCACCAGAATACATTCGAAGTTTAAACAGAACATCTTCACACTGATCAATACTTAAAGGATCTTGTCTATATTAGTAATATACTACCCCATGCTTATGCTACTCCAAGCAAAGCATTTAGATATAATGAACGACAATGCTATACCACATTTCAGTTACAATCTATGTAGTAGGCTCCTAGAAAAATACTTCTGCGCTTGAAAAGACAAGACATGTGCTCGGAAAAGTTCGATCAAGTAGTTAAATCATAGTAAAACTTGTTTGAAATCCCATTGAAAATTTCATCACGGTACTAAACTAACTATTATCTCAGACTCACCTCTTGAATACGATCCAATGCTCTGATATGATCTAGCGTATCAATAGAAGGTGATAAGCCACCATGCAGACAAAATATTTGACCATCGACGAGCGCAGTGAGAGGGAAACAGTCGAATAAATCCGTGAAATACTTCCACACATTAGAATTACCATACTTGCGTAGGCACTCATCGTAGAACCCGTAAACCTGAAAACAACTCCAGAATAAATTAACATTTCTTTCTAAACGGGTTTTCGCGAGAAGTTAGAGATTCGCATTTGAAATTTTCTTCCACCTATGTAAGCTACTTACTAGTCGGAAATTTAAAATGTCCCACAATAACCTTAGTGAATAAGTACCCAAAACCGTTCGTCCCTGTTTGTTTCAGATAATCACTCTATGCTAAGTCCAGACGAGGGACAACATCAATGTGTGGATGAGGCGTAGCTGACGGCCAAGGTCTAACGATTTCCGTTTTTGTATTAGAACTATTTCTTACCTTCGTCCACAATTAAGCTAAGAAAACTGTCGGCGCAGGTGAAGCAGCAGAATCAAATATATATATATATATATACATATATTATATATATCCTCCCAACGGTTTACCGCATTATAGTGGCTAGGAGGTGTTCCTGGGTGTTGGACTGTGATGTACAGCGGGAATTCGGCTACCCGGCAGGGTCTCCCAAGCTGAGGAGTCCGCCGTTTCCATCAGGAAGCCTAGCTAAGAGTAAACCAATACCAGGATCAAGCACAATGGCTAAACCTGCAGCTTTTCGAGAAAATTGGAGTTATGCTGGAGCCCGTACAAGCAGTGAGGACGGGCCATCCGAGTTTCCAAGTAAGTAATGACATTAGTAAGAAAACTGTGAAGATTACTCATAAAAACAGTTGATGAAAACTACTTTGGCTAGTGAGGAAACGATGAGCAATACGAAGTGCGAAAAATACAGCTTACCTGAGTAATTTGTCGCGATTCGTGATTTCCACGAAGAATAGTAACCCTTTCTTTAAACCGAATCTAAATCGCAGCATTTTGGGTACGAAGCAACGAAGAAGGCACTTCATCACAAACCTTTAAACATACGAGAAGGCTGACAGTCTCGACAGAGTAGTAGCCACGATCCACGTAATCTCCCATAAACAAATAATTCGTGTCTGGACTTTTGCCACCCATCTTGAATAGTTCCATGAGATCGTGGAACTGCCCATGAACATCACCGCATACCGTTACAGGACACCGTACTTCTTGTACATTAGACTCTTTCTCAAGGATTTCTTTTGCCTAGAGAGAGTTTGATAAGTAACAAGTAAAAGGAGTTGTAACAAGAAACGCCCTTTCTGTCTTCATTAAACTTCTATCTCATTGCCAATTTCATTTGATTACCAAATCCCTCCCATCGGTTTACCGCCTCATCGTGGCTGGGAGGTGTTCCTGTGTCGGCCTGTGATATACAGCGGGGGTTTCATCCTCACGACAAGGTCTCTTAAGCTGAGAAGTCCGGCGTGTCCACCAGGTAGCTCAGTTAAGAGTAAATCAATACCAGAGTCTGTTACAGTCGTGATATCAAACTCGTCATGCGGTGGCAAATCTCCTGATTCACATGGGCGGCGACTGCGTGTGGTGGTAACGACCTAGGGCAACTTTAGCCAGGTAGACCTCGGGACTCCACGGAAATACAATGGCTAAACCAAAAAAACTCCGAAAAATGGAGATTATGCTTGGGGCCCGCAAAACCAGTGAGAACGGCCCCTCCGAGCATCCAAGTTAGCAAGATTACATTTTCACTGCCTCCACATACGACTGATGTGAAGCTCAATACATCCAAGTGCTTTACGAATGCTTTCAGAGAAAGAAAAAGAAAGGGAAGGAAGACCAAAAGCAGTGACCATACCTTCTCGCATAAAATCTTTACTTGATTTTCACTGAGTTGTTTACACTCGTAGAGCTGCTCAATCCACTGATCGAGGTCTTTGATCATTGCTCGATCGAGCACGTCTGTGGACGGTGCTGACTGTACCACTGATGTCATCGGTACTGAAGAGAAACGTGAACGTACAGGAAGCAGAACGCACAAAACAACGGACGACGAAAGCCGCCAACGAACAATTCAGGCCCACTCGGGTCAGACACAATGAGAAATGTAGCACGGGAGGGAGTCTGAAGTTCGACGCGATGAGATTTCATCGAAAGCACACCGCAGAAGACAACTTGGAAACCCGTATGACTCAACGAGACAAATCGATACCCTTGGAAATGGATTGGGAAATTCGCCGAGCGCCAAGCGTGGTCAGCAAGGTTCATAGCGCGGACGCAGCGCGGCTGCAGCGCGTTCGCTCGGATCTGCCTGGGCGACGGACGGCAGTGGGTCAAGGGCACGCACCTCGTCGACGTCGCCGGATGTTCAACGGATTCTGATGGCCGGCTTCGAATGGTGGACCATTGTTGAATCACTTGGTGATTTACTTACTTGTATGGCTCGTGCTCATATGTGTCACAGACGTTCACTCGTTCTTTGGAGACCGTCCGTCATGGAGGTGGTCGGATTCGTTCGTGGGTTGGGCTGCGGTTGAGAAAACCGTTGTCTTCTCTCCTTAACAACATGTTGAATGTCATTCGGGGGTAGGAGAGACCTATGTTCATGGCACCGGCGTTGTTTTCGTCGCAGATAGTGAGATTGTTCAAAAATTAAGTTCTCATCCTGTAACCTCGAAGACATCGCAAGTTACAACGAATTCCATTAGTTGACGTGAATCCACTATAATATATACATTTTTGTCAGCGAAATGCATAACGCTGAGCTGTGAGCTCCCGGACCTAACGAGTTTTTAAGGAGCATCGGTAACAGCGCTTAGTTGTTCATGATTTTCCCAGCAGATACTCGGCGAGATGATTGAAAGAGCGTTAGGTGGTTAGCGAAAAGTTTGATATGCTTAGTAAGCTAGATATTCACTATCGCTCATTCGAATCTACACGAAGGTCTTCGAATTTTGTGTACGAGTTCTGCTTGAAGAATTTTGTTCTTCCGAATGTCGTTGAAAACTGGTAAAGTCGACTCTTCCTAAAATCCTGGAGCAGTTGCGCTAGGGCGTTCCCAGATCTTCACCAGAGACATCTACTAGTTTTTGTGGATTGGATAAAGCCAGTTGAACCTAAACAAGTTTGGCATTAATTTACCGATCTTGGAGAGGTGAGAGACGTGGTGGGATGGTGCAGGGTCGAACGAGAGCGTTGCTCATGTTGGGCGGCATCGGTACCACTGTGCCACCGCCTCCCTGTATATGTGTTTTTATATATGTACATCTACCACGGATTTCCATTACTAAAGGATCTTCAGTAAGTTAGCCGCTAGGCGACGTGGCGCGTCCCAAGGTGGTTGATAGATGATTAATGGCGGACTAAAAGCGACTTCTGCTACCCTGAGACGGAGGTGGATCTAGAGGATAGACTCCGTGCTTTTGTTAGACCGATTTTCCACACACATTCTACGTTTACACAGACATCTTCGTGCATGCGTGCATGTGTTCTCGTCTATGAAAATATTGTTCTGCAAGTCAATAATCCTGCAATCAAGTGACTTGGAAGTATACGGGTGATAGGAGTCACCTCCAACAAATAAGCTCTAGTTCTATTCTGGGACATACTAGCAAGCTACCTGTAAATATCCCTCACATATCCAGCCCTCACAGAGAACTCGACGAGCTATGCGTGGGTATCAAAAGCCAAGTTGTAAAATAAATAGGCTTCATTCCCTTGACCTCGAAAGAGCCTCGATAAAGCAGCATTAGTAGGAGGAGTATGAAGAGCGCCGTTAAAATCTCAGGCCATTTCTCGGCTTCCTGGAAGGATTGAGGTGATGATTTGTATCTACATTGTACAACCTACAGTGAACGTTCGCTCACATTTTTATTGAGAACTTGATGATGTGGGACAAAAGGTCTGGATGTAACGCCATTGGACTGCATGGAACGGGAAGATGCCGCCCATTTAACGCCGTCTGTGAGACCAAAGGACTGTTTCTCGGAACATGCGTTAACAGTTGAGTCGGCGGCGTCCGTGATCTCGTCAGTGTGAATTTGGTCATAAACATTGATTCATTCGAACAATTAAGAAGCCTAATCGGACGCTTACGATTCAACAGATGTGGATCAATACCGGACTTGAAAATTTTCGTCGTCCACGCACCGACTTCAAACTATGACGGAAAAGAAGTCTTCTTCTATAACGTTCTATATGGACTTGGAGAAGTTTTACAGAGAAGGACATACATTCTTTAAGGTTCATTCTTTAAAGAATTTTAACGCTAATATTGGCTACAGAATATTGGTCTAAAGAACGCTATGGGAACCACAGATTAGAACAGAACGAGCAAGCTGAGTGGGTGTCTGAGTTTATCATGATGAACAAGACTATCCGTAGCAACGCACAATTCCAGTCTTAGCGCTTAACATGAGAGTCTTCCAAGGGGTAGTGCCATAATTAACTAGACCAGATCCTAGTCAATCGCTAGTTTTGCTTAACCGATGTTGCTGTTGACACTTTACAAGGGATCGGACCACCGCCTCTATGTAAGATTCTATTTCTTCCAGAAAGGAGAAAAAGTTACTAAATTCGGAGAACGAAATCCTAAACCCACCATAAAGTGGGATTTATCCAGGTAATTAGTCGGCCCTTAGAAAGATTCCGTTATTGGCGACATCGACAAGGGATATGGCAGGCTTACTCAACATCTTCACGTCAACACTATGATATCCGAGAGTTCGAAAGTCACCAGGCGACATCTATCTCCAGAAATGTTCGAATTGATAAGACAACATGAAACGGAACGAACCGTAGGCAATCGCCAACTGACGTCCGAACTAGCAAAATGGTGCAGAAAGGCGGTAAGAGAGGATCTTAAGGAAAGAGCATCCAAGAGCATTGACAACGCCAACCGAAGCCTCGCCAAATAAAACGAAGATGATTGTATTCCGACGCCGAAATAGAACGGTTACAGCTTCCGGAATGGCAATGGAGAAAGCCACCCACAATTACTACTAGGATCTCTTCCGTAGCTATTACCATCCGAAATCCGATATACTACTTCGACGATGAAGAATCGAGCAACAGATGGTCTGAACTGGATAAGAACAGAAGAGCTGAAGAATCTTCCGCCAGTCCAATACAATGGATCGGCTCTTCATATGTTACCTATCAGAATGCAAGGTTCCTATTCCATGGAAGACTGGTAAAATCGTGTTGTTTAACAAAAAGGGAGACGTCCACGACATCGGCAACTACAGCCCAATCTCCCTTCTATTGTCTATGAACTCTGCACTTCAGTCGCTTTCAACAAGATTGACATAACGCTAGACGAATGAAAGCCATGTGGGTTTAGTAGAGTTTTCAAAGTGATTCAGTATGACAGATCATAACCACACGATCAGGTGTATCATCGAACTATCAAGCGATTATAAGAGACCACTTTGTCTTGCCTTCTACGCAATCGAGATATAAGCGGTGATAGAAACTTTGGGCAGCCACTGCTTCGGTAAAGATCCTTTGTGACGTATATATATATATAATGTTTACTTTTTATTTTCTGCCACTACAATTTCCACGGCAAGGTATTATGCGAAATACAACTACAACGATGCTGAGATATTTGCAAAACTCCGGACCACAGGTGTCTGCTCTGGAGAATGAACGCACTATTACCCTTTCCAGGGGCTAGCACGTTCATCACCACACCATGCGGGTCATTCGTTTCGCCTGTCTCTCGGCTAGTGGCACTGGTCGATAGAACTAGCTGAGATACAAGCGAAACGAAGGATCCGTATGGTATGGTGGTGAACGCGTTAGCCCCTAGAAAGAGTAATGACACCTGCGGTCCGGAGCTTTTGAAATATCTCAGCATCGCTGTGGTTATATATACATATATATGTTTATATATAATATATAGATTAGGACATCTATATGTATGTATATAGATTTTAGATATATGTAGAATATATAGATTTAAAGCCAAAATATTGCGATTCTTTAAAGATATTAAGGTCTGAGTTAAAAGATTAGTTAGACAAGGCGATATGATCTCGGCAATATTATTTATAGCAATACTCGACTGTATCATGGGGAAAATTAGAATAGGATAGCGGAAGAGTGGAAGCCGATGGTCGGTAATTACACCGCCTTTGCTTTGCTGGTCACGTCGTTCTTATAACATCAAGCATTAGCCACCGGAATGGATGCTGACCGTCTTTGGCAACGCTTGTTGAGAGGTTGGTCTTCGATAAAATCTCACAAAAACGGTGTTAGTAAAGAACGAAATCGTTTCCCGCGCCCCATTTACGCCCAGTGAAATGTGTAAATGCGAATGTTCTAGCTTTGCAAATTTGCGTGGTAAAACTAGCTTGACAACATAACGTAACTCCAGAGTTGAACAGGAAGAAGCTCAGCAGCTTGGAGATCGTCAACGAGCATTGATGATCTAGTGAGGAGAAATAGGAACACTCCGCTCTTACCCTTTGACCGCATTATTTTTCCTACCTTAATATACGGGTCGAAAGTTTGGTTGCTGATTAGTAGTAGAAGTATAACGTAATTGAGAGACGGGATATCCGCCCTGTCAACGATCTAATATCAGGCATGGCTTTGTCTACTCCAAAACGTCGGAAGATGGGCGGGACATGTAATGCATCTGAACGACAACCGATAAAAGAGCCATTAGCGACTGGACTTCTAGAGGTTATCAAGCACACAGCAGCGAGACCGCTGACCCTATGGTCAGGGCTGTTTACGAAATTTCTAAAAAGAAGATTCATGCTCAATGATTCCCTAGACCGCACAGAATCCACTGAGTTGCTCTTCCACGAGACAGGAAGAAATGGAAGGTTTATTGTCCGCTGGAGTCACTTCACGACCAACAGGACGACAGGTGATACAAGTAATGCGTACATACGAATACGTCTATAAGTATCCATAATCACCCAGTTTCACATGTAGGTGCCAATACTTCTTCTATTCGTTTTAGTGGTTGAAATATTGCTGTCA